GGTGTGGTGGTGTGAGCCTATAATTCCAGCTACTTGGGAGGCTGAGGCAGGACGATTTGAGTCTAGGAGTTCCAGCCTATAGTGAGCTATGATCATGCCACTTTACTCCAACCTGGGTAACAAAGCAAGACCTGGTCTCTTTTTTTTTTTTGAGACAGAGTCTCACTCTGTTGCCCGGGCCAGAGTGCCATGGCGTCAGCCTAGCTCACAGCAACCTCAAACTCCTGGGCTCAAGCGATCCTCCTACCTCAGCCTCCTGAGTAGCTGGGACTACAGGCATGCACCACCATGCCCAGCTAATTTTTAGTTGTCCAGGTAATTTCTTTCTATTTTTCAGTAGAGACAGGGTTTCGCTCTTGCTCAGGCTGGTCTTGAACTCCTGAGCTCAAATGATCCGCTTGGCCTCCCAGAGTGCTAGGATTACAGGTAAGACCCGGTCTCTTAAAAAAAAAAAAAAAAAAGAGACGCCTGTAATCCTAACACTTTAGTAACCTTTGGGAGGCCTAAGTGGGAGGATTGCTTGAGGCCATAGTTTGAGACCAGCCTGAGCAAGAGAAAGACTCCATCTCTATAAAAAACAGAAAAATTTAGCTGGGTGTAGTGGTAGGAGCATATAGTCCCACTACTTGGGAGGCTGAAGCAGGAGGCTCTCTCAAGGCCAGGAGTGTGAGGTTGCATTGAGCTATAATGACACCACTGCACTCTTGCCCAGGAAATAGAGCAAGACCCTATGTCAAAAAAGGAAAAAGAAATGAGTTCAACAACAGCCTCAGAGTTTTCACGTGGACTTTTACAATATTAAAAACTTAGGGGTTTTGTATGTCTAACATCTAAGAAAGTCCCCGGAATAAGACAAGCCCTTGTTGGTGATAAGGAATAAGGAAGGAACCTGGTAAGTAGGGAGCTTTCAACCCTTGAGAGCTTTATAAGTTAACATGCATCAGTCTCAACAGAGGGGGCTAAACCACATGATATTACAAAGAGTCAGAAGTTCTGGATGTGAGTTATTATATCAGAATGTACAATGATAAGAGCCATACTATTACCTGTTCTATTATCATTTCATGAAAAAATGGACTTACCATGAAGTCTTTCATCATTCTTAGAGAAAAAGAAAAATCTAGTGGTCTCTTTCTCAGGTACTGATGCTTCTCTGAAAAAAGAGGGAAAGGGGGCAGAAGGGGGAGAGAGAAATAGACAGATATTGGGTACTTTAATTTCAATATTTAAGAAGAAATATTTACATTAAAAATAAACTGTTCCTGAAATATATCTGCCTTGTGTTTTGCTTATCTTGCCCTGAGTTCAAAATGACCCTACCTTCTCTCCATTCAACATTCTTCTATCTGAAGCTTTGACAATGAAGACTTGTTTAAGTACAAACTATCTTCCCTACACTGGTTGTTGATACTCTCACTCCCACAACTGCTACCCCATTTGCCACTGTTCCCCATGGGAAGGCACCCCACCATCTGCAGCATCCTGTTTCCAGACTTAGCGACTTCACTGTCAGGGTTCCTTCCCTCTGCACATCCTATCTTCCAACCAGTGCCACCCAAATCTCAAGGAAAAGGAAACAAGCTCCCCATGATAAAAAGGCTAGAGAACTCTCTAAAGGAGCTGAGAAAAGAAAATTGTTTTGTGAGGAGAAGCTTAAACACTTCTAAAATACTTCTAACTCAGATTGTACAAATATGAACCTGCGAAGCAACAAATTGCTTACTCTGAGATAGGCTTTCTGTGATCTGTTTCTTCAGTAATATCTGATTCTTCTTCTGAACTGCTATCTTGGAAACGAGGGTCTTCTTGCCAGGTAATCTTCCCAGGTTTCACTGTCTCAACTCTGTAGGTCTCTATATCATTATAATGACACAAAATGATGGGATTGTAACTGAACAACAAATTATTTCTGAACACACTCATTTGATTACTTTTACCATGCACACGTATCTCTAAATTTCTAATATAATTAACCGTTAGTTTAAAATAGGTAGTATCTATTTTGAAAAAATTGAGAGAAGCTACTACCATAATTTTGGCATCGCTAGAATGATCTGATAAGGACTATAGTAATATTATAAAAAGGCATAAAAACTAAATGTTTTTAAATTTATAAATGAACAATATGATTTAAAAAAAGAACAGATAAAATAAGCATGGCATCTGTGCTCGCTTAAGAAGCCTAAAATATAATAGGATACAGTGAAAGCAGATTTCCCTCTCTACTGAATAGTTTACAAAGACAAGAAAATGAAGTAAGCAAAGCACATGATATGTTGTGTCTGCTGTGTCTTATTTGCTTATTTATAAATGAGAAAAGGAACATACATTTACATTTTCAATTCCTAAAACCTCTTTCTAGAACTGCTGAAAAAGCTACTGCTATAAGATCTAGACAATCACCTCACAAGTCTCCAAAATTTCCTAAGTACTCATAAAACATCTTTCAGGTTGCTGCTTCTTTAGGACTCATTTCAAGGTCAGTTTCTCACACTTGACCCTCAAAATCAGAAGAATTATAGTTACTATCCACATCATGCCAACTCTACTGAATAGTTTTACATAGACAAGAAAATGAAGTAAGCAGAGCACATGATATATTGTGTCTTATTTGCAACACTTTTTGAAAAACTACTAGATTGTTGTACTTCCTTTTAGGGTACCACAGAACAGGTATTTAATATTTATCTGCTACACACATGTGCTATTTTAACTGCTCATGTTTAAAGTGGTGCGAGCCTATAGTCCCAGCTACTTGGGAGGCTGAGGCAGGATGATTTGAGTCCAGGAGTTCCAGCCTATAGTGAGCTATGAGTAGAATCACTGTAGTTAGGTGTGTATGTTCTTCTGAATAGGTATATCCTGCTTTTTATAGTGAACTCCCAGAAAGCTGCATGAAGAACAGCTTCGTGTTCTCCACTGCATGGAGAACAGCTTCTTAGGGAACAGGTGTTGGCCTTCAGAGGTAAACCCCCTGAAATACAATGCAAAATTGTATTAATAGGTACTGGTGTTTGTACTTTTCACTAGGTTCTGACAAATCTCCAGGGATAAACTTTGAAACAACTGGCATATCAATGCCATGGCATATTTGTATAAAGCCAAGAAGATTACTTATTTCTTCTTTTCTCTTATCATATATAACACTAGTATTCCATAAGTCATGGCATCTCTAACTGCATTTAAGACATGAAACTATTTAAACATATGACTTACTATACTTTTTCATCACTGTTTTTACTTAGAAGAAGGGATGAACATAATAGTGCTGTACATTATTCTCTGTCTTCCCTTCATGTGGCAGCTAGCTAGAAGCTTGCTCCCTTAAATGCAAAATTAGTTTCTTTCACAGCTTCAGGCACATCACGTCTATGGTCATGTAACACTGAATCTAAAATCGTTTTTCTACGTAGAAGAAAGAATACTTTATTCAGCTAATGTTAAATCTGTTACACTTAATGCAGACTCAATTAAATTCAAACTGTGTAAAATGAAAAAGTGGAGGAAAAAAGAAAAGTACCTTCCTTTATGTCTTTAGCGTCTGAACCAAAAAAAGAGAATGTGAACCCGCCAGGCTGCTCAGCCTCACTCTTCAGAGTTGCAGGGTTCTGGATTTCTTCGGGTTTCTCTCCACCACAGTCCTCATTCCACGGTGTGTCTTCTTCCTTTTCACTGGTATCTTTTGCCGTTTGGAATATTTCTTTCAAATCCGTAGCAATGTTATAATATATTTCTTTAGACACCTCAGGTACTTTCTCAGCTTCTTCCCTTTTCTTCTTTCGTTTTGCTTTACTGCCATGACATGTATAGACATGTACATCACAAAGAAACAAGTTAAGGAAAATTTCCAGAAATCAGAAAAGGAAAAAAAACCTTAGATAATTTTAATTCTATCCTTTCAACAAAGAAGTTGTTCCACATATAAAACTCTACTAATAAAAGCAAAATCTTGACCAATAAGCTTTAACACAAATCTCAATGAGCTGCAAACATTAAACAGAAATCATATTCTCCTCTTATCTCTTATCCTCTGAACTACATTTCAAAAATTACACCTAAACTATTAGCTATAAGTAATCACTTAGCCTCAATGGGCCTCAGTTTCCTCATATCCAAAATGAACATGTTAAACCAGATCACTCCTAATATCATTTTAAGTTCTAAAATTCTGTGAATTTTACCAAACTGATGTATAAGAGGAATTATAATTCCTTTTATAAACTGAAATTATTATTCCTTTTATAAATTGAATTATAATTCAGTTTTCGAAATGAATTATAAATGTGCTAAGTATAGTCTCTTTTGAAATGAAATTTTTATGTTACCATAAATCTGTTCTTAGACAAAAGGTTACATGGCAGTTTCCGATATTGAGTTTTTAGTTTTTAACTAATAAAAGATTAAAATCCATTTCCTGTTTTTTTGTTTTTTTTTTTTTTTTTTGAGACAGAGTCTCACTCTTTTTGCCCGGGCTAGAGTGCCGTGGCGTCAGCCTAGCTCATAGCAACCTCAAACTCCTGGGCTCAAGCAATCCTCCTGCCTCAGCCTCCCAAGTAGCTGGGACTACAGGCATGTGCCACCATGCCCGGCTAATTTCTTCTATATATATTTTTAGTTGTCCGATTAATTTCTTTGTATTTTTAGTAGAGACGGGGTCTCGCTCTTGCTCAGGCTGGTTTTGAACTCCTGAGCTCAAACAATCCGCCCGCCTCGGCCTCCCAGAGTGCTAGGATTACAGGCGTGAGCCACCACGCCCGGCCTGTTTTTTTGTTTTTTATAGGAGGGGTCTCACTCTCTAAAAATAGCCAGTCTGTTACCCAGGCTGCTGGAGTGTAGTGGTGTGATGATAGTTCACTGCAGCTTTGAACTCCTGGGCTCAAGTGATCCTCCCTCCTCAGCCTCCAGCATAGCTGGGACTACAGGTGCATGTCACCACACTCAGCTAATTCTTAAAATTGTTTTTAGAGATGGGGGTCTTGCTATGTTGCCCAAACTGGGCTTGAACCCCTGGCCTCGAACCCCTGGCCTCATCCTCTCACCTCAGCCTCCTGAGTAGCTAGGATCATAGGCTCCAGCCACCAAACCCAGTTTAAAATCTCTTTTCCACTAAGATCAAGCTATAGTTCGTAATGTATTACCTAAAATAAAAAGAGAACAGGCTACCCTAAATAACCATCTTAATGGTGGAGACTATCTCAAAGAGAGAAACTTTTAATACTTTATTAAATAAACCAACACAGCCAGGTTTTCAGGTAGATATGCTCCTTATGAAACCAAGCTCTATAAACAATGGTAGACAGTCCCAAGTGATTGTCATTGAATTACCAAGTGGTGGCTTTAAAATTTGTCCAAAAACTCTTTGATACTTCTTCTTCCAAGAGGTGGAAGTTAATTGCCCCATCCCTTGAGCATGGACTGGACTTAATGACCTCTTTTAATGAACAGAATAAGGCAGATGTAGTGGTATGTGACTTTAGAGACTAAGGTCACAGCAAAAGCCAGAAGGGCCTTGAAAAAACTGTTAGTAGAAAGCACATGGCCTTTCAGGAGGTTGCAGGTAAGGAATTATAGAAAAGTAAGGTAAATGCTATCAGAAACTGGAGGAAAGGCGATCCTTGCTATGCAGTGGCAAAAAGTCTAGCAACCCTGTCATCCATATTAACATGGAAAATAGAAAATGTACTTAATTAACTGGGTGATCTAGTTAAGATGTTCAGAAAAGTGTTGAATGTAATTTCTGGTTTCTTCTTACTGCTTATAGTAAAATGTGAGAAGAGAATGAAACTAAAGGAAGAAATTTTTTTTTTAAAAAAGGTGGTAAGACTTCATGGTTTTGAAGATTCCTAATCAACAGAAGGCACATGACATGAAATTCAACAAATGGCTTCTAAGCAAAGATCATATCTATGACACTCTCAGAACAACTTGGTTTAAAGCAGGAGTTGGCAAACTATAGCCCATGGGCCAAGTCTAGGCTGCTGCCTATTTATGTCTGAACTGCAAGTTAAGACTGTTTTTTTACATTTTGAAATGATTGGGGGGAAAATAAAAATGATTTCATAACATGCTAAAATTACATGAAACACAAATATCAGTGTTCATTAATAGTTTTATGGAACACAGCCTTGTTCAATTGCTATATTGTCTATGGCTGCTTTTCTGCTAATAAAGGTAGAGTGGAGTCATCACAGTGGAGACTGTCTGGCCTGCAAAGTCTAACATATTTGCTATCTGGACATTCACAGAAAAATCTATAGACCTGGGTCTAAAAATAAAACAAAATTCTTTGTTAAGACCCTAAATAAAGCTAAGGATCTTCAATTGTTCAAACAACAGGGCTTCTATATCAGTTAAACTTCTCAGTAGTTTTGGCAGAAGCCTAAGGTTAAAAAAAAAAAAACAACTTATCTGAAAATGATTTGTGTGACTTTTGTCTAATGCAGTGAACCCTGAGAAGATTCAAAGATGATGCACCACAAGAAGAGGCTTTTGGACTCTCAAATTAATACTAACAAAAAGCAGGCTGAGAAAATTACTCAGCTGTAAACATCCTACCATTCATGAAAAAGGATGACCCAGAGGGCAGAGTCAACAGTCAGAGAGAAGTATTCCTAGGCCCTCAGTTCTAATCAAAGAATTTCTAACATTTGCCTGTCTAGATTTCAGACCTACTATGGACAAATGACCCTTTTGTGCCTCTGTTTCCCTCATTAAATAGTGACTATAGTGGTTAATCTATGCCTGCTCCACCACTGTATATTAGCGGAAGGGCAGATAATTTACCTTTTTAGTTCACATGTCTTATCAAACAGAACTTCATTCAAGGAATAACAGATAAGCCTCATCTGTACCTAGATCTGATTTGGAAGATAACATCCTAGATTTCGAATTGATGTTGAAATGGGATGAGACTTCTGAGGATTATAGAGAGTGGGTGAGCATACCCCACATGTGGTAGGAATATAAACATTTTGTGGCCAGAAGGCAGATGGTGGTTTAAAACTATGTCTACAAATACTTTGATACTTCTTTCTTCAAGATGTGGTGCTGAACTACCCCTATCAAAGTGTGGATTGCACTAAAAGTGACTTGTTTCAAGAAAATTGAATAAGGCGGATGTGTCAGAGTATGACTTCTAAGACTAGGTCATAAAATATACTGTGGCTTCCTTCTTCTTCTCTTTCTTTTGGGGCACTTATTCTGAGGAAAGCCAGCTGCCAAGTATTAGAGCACTTAAGTAGCCTAATGGAGAGGCCCATGAGGTGCAAAACTGCGGCCTCCCGTCAATAGCAATGTGCGTGAGCCATGCTGAAAGCAGATCATACAGGCCCAGACAGGCCTTTGGAGACTGAAATCCCAGGCAACAATTTGACTGCAACCTCACAAGAGACCCTGGCCAGAGCCACCCAGTGAAGTGCCTTCCAAATTCTTGACCCACAGAAACTTTGAGATAAATGTTTGTGGTTTTAAGATACTAAGTTTGGGTAATTTGTTATGCAGCAATAGGTAACTAATACACCCTAATTATAAATTTTTAAAAATCCAATGTATTTTACAAAATACTCCCTATTTATCATGTTCAACATGGATTATCTGAAATAATGTACAAAAATTCTACATTGAAGGGAATATTAATATTACTTTTATTTTGGTCTAAAATGTGATTCTTTTTAAAAGAAACCTTTAAGTTTGCAACAAATTTAGATTTACAGAAAGTTGCAAAAATAATAGAGTTCATAAATAACCTTCACCTAGTTTCCCCAATGTAAATATCCTATGTAACTATGATACAAATGTCACAACTAAAAGATTAACATTGGTACATTACCTCTAACTAAACTCAGACTATATTCTGATTTCACCAGTTTCTCTAAAAATGTCTTTTTTGTTTCAGGATCCAATTCAGGATATCACATTGCCTTTACTGATTTTAGTTGCTATTAACAGTAGGAAAACGAAGGATTTAAACCAAGCAGTTACTGGTTTCTCCATATATTTGCTATATTTATCAAACTGACTCCACTTCTGTAGGAAATAGAAGCTCCTACCACACTAGGTGTATGGGTTGAATGGCTGCCCCCCAAAAGACATGTCAATGTCCTAATTCCTAAAATTGTGAAGGCTATCTTATTTGGATAAAGGGTCTTACAGAGTAATTAAGTTAAGCACCCTGAGATGAGAAGATCATCCAGGATTATCCAAGTGGGCTCTAAATGCTATCACAAGTGTCCTTATAAGAGACACAAAAACAAACAGAAAAGAGGAGGCTATGTGAAGACAGAGGCAGAGATGAGAGTGACGTGACCTCAAGTGAAGGAAAACCAAGCACTGGTGGCAGTCACTAGCAGCTGGGAGAGAGGCACAAAATGGATTTGTTTCTCTGAACCTCCAAAGGGAATACAGCCCTTCCAATAATCCCTCACTTTGGATTTCTAGTCTCCAGAACTGTAAGGAAATAAATTTTTGTGGTTTCTAAGTCATCAAATTTATGGTGACTTATTATAGCAGTCACAAGATACTAACACAAACAGACGGTATCATACTAGAGTAGGAGCACATATCATTTATGTGCATGAGATTCTTCTGTCAAAACATAAAACTGGTCGGGAGTGGTGGCTCACATCAGCACTTTGAGAGGGTGAGGTGGAAGGACAGCTCGAGGCCAGGAGTTCAAGACCAGCCTGGGCAACACAGGGAGACCCCGTTTCAAATTATAACTAAAAAAAAATACCAAAACAAAAAAACATAAGACTTCCTTCATCAAGTCAATAATTCCTCTCTAATTAACTCCTACCCTCCCCCATCCCTGATAATCTTAAACTATATACAGTGGGACCAACGTTTAGGATATTGGTTACTACCTAGTTTTTCTTATTGTCTGAAATGAGATTAATTCATATGATCCTACTGCTAAAAAAAGTACCTTTAATTACCTTTCTTTTGGCTGATCATCTTTTTTCCTTTCATAAGTGGCATGGTCATGTCTTGTTGGATCATAACGTATGATGTCCCTGTGTCAAAAAACAGGAGTGCAAGTTGGTTGGAAGAACACTAATGCAAAAAATAAATAGCAAATTATAATTCAATAGTGGAAAGATTTTAATTTTTGGCAAGATAAAGCTAAATAACATCAAAGAACAGATCTTATTAGAAATAATATTTTAAATTGCCTGCTTTTGAGATTCCTTGAATATTTTTAACCTTAAAAATTAAACATATTAAAATACACACAAATAAAATGATATACTATCTGGGATTTGCATAAAATATTTCAGTAGGTAAAGCAGGTGTTAAATAAAGGTACAGAAAACTGGTGACGTGTTGGTGACTGTAGAAGCCGGGTAATGGTATACAGGGTTTCATTACATTAATCTCTCTAAATTACATATGTTTGAAATTTTCCTTAATAGTTACATTTATATAGCTTAATAATTTTATAATTAATGTTTAAAATGTTTTCCAATTGTTTCACTAATGGAAGCAATGCCACTGAGATCTAAGTATATAAATACAGAAATGATTTAAGATTAGTTTCTTGAAGTGAATTACTAGGTCAAAGTTAAGTATATTTCTAAGGGTCTGATTGCTACATATTGCTAATTGCCCTCTCTAGGAAGCTAAAAACGGCCTAGTTTTAAGCCGAGTTCAAGAAGGCATTTATGGCAAAGGAAAATACGGTAGAATGGAAAGGAACATAAACCATACTTAAATTTCTTAGCGGGTACTGATCCTTTGCTTGTAGAATTTCTTAAGTTGATGTGCAAAACACTTTGCACAACATTCAGGGCTTTCTTTTTTTCTTCAGCAAGCTCTTCTTCTTCAACAGATTTCTTTTCATTTACCTCTGAGGGAAAAGGATAATTAGTAATTTCTTGGCAAACACAGCTTAAGAAATCTGAATCATCAAATACTTACCAAGCACCTAAACATGTACAAAGTCCATTAGGATAGGAAAAAGAAAGTTTAACCTTATTTCACTAACCTCTCTATCCCAAGACCCTCATGCCACAGCAAACCCAGAAAGTTTATATAACCAGCAAGCAAAAAGTCTGACTTCTATTTCTAATGATAAAAATGAGTCTGGAATTAATGGCTTTGAGTGGAAGCCTAAAATTTTTAAGATAAATATTGGCAAATGTAATACAGCAAGATACTAATAATTATAAAACTAAAGTGGTCACGGACTGGTTTTTTAACACTCCAAAAATGTCATAATCTAAACTACATGTAAATCTAAAAGTAATAAAGTAAAAAGTGGTAATTTTACTGACTTAATATAACAGTAGTAGAGAGTTGCTTCAGTCTTTGATTCTGTAACAAGTATTACAGGAAAAAGCCATATGCCTATACACACATAGCATCATGGAATTCTATAAGCTGCTATGCTCAACTACTAGAAACAGACAAATATCAGAGAACAAAGTTAAACAGCTAGATTGAATTATAGAAATACAAAAGAACTTTAAGCTTTTATGGCCCTTTCAATTTATTACTGGATATAAATAATCAACAAATAGAAACTGGAATAAAATTCTTATTTCAGTTTTCTATAGAGATACCCCACAAGTTTCTAAGGGTTCAAAGGAGGTTGAGATTATGTTTAACTGGATCAAACAATGCTTCATAAACCAGGCAGAGTACAAGGTAGGAAAGACAAAGTCATATCCCCACAGTTGGGAGGAAAGCATGCTAGGTGTTGAAAACAAAACAAATACGTATATTAAAGTAAGAAAGTACACAAAAGTTTACGTTGCATTAGGTTGAAACATATGAAATGCGAATATTCGAAACTTCTTGACTTCTAAAAACAGAAATTTCAATTTTAACCTAGTAAGAAGTAGAAAACAATGCTGGAAAGGTTTCAAGGTGAGGTAGGATGGCTGTGCTACTTACTTGATGGATAGAAAAAAAACTGTGCCTCAAAAGATGGGAAGAGAAGAAAAAAATTGAGGTTCTATGCCGGATTGCCTTACGAACGGAAGCACCATCAACACAGAGAAAAGGGTCTGGAAGAGCTTTACGGAGAGAAAGAGAGATATTCAATTTTGGAGAGTTTTAACACAAATTCAGGAAAGCCTGTGGGCAAAATCTAGCAGGCATTGAAAAAAAGACCAGTTAGGAGCTCAGCAGAACAGTCAGGAGCAAAGAAGACCCAAATTTGGGAAATACTCAAGTACAAGTGAAGGCTAAAGCCAAAGAGGCTTACACAGAACCTTGGGAAGAACCTACATTTGGAGGCAAAAGGAGAATTAGGAGTCAAGAATTAGGAAGATGGCTGGGCGCGGTGGCTCATGCCTGTATTCCTAGCACTCTGGGAGGCCGAGGCGGGTGGATCGTTTGAACTCAGAGAACTTGTTTGAGTTCGAGATCAGCCTGAGCAAGAGCGAGACCCCATCTCTACTAAAAATAGAAAGAAATTAGCTGGACAACTAAAAATACATATAGAAAAAATTAACCAGGCATGGTGACGCATGTCTGTAGTCCCAGCTACTTGGGAGGCTGAGGCAGTAGGATTGCTTGAGCCCAGGAGTTTGAGGTTGCTGTGAGCTAGGCTGAGACCAGCCTGAGCAAGAGCGAGACCCCGTCTCTACTAAAATTAGAAAGAAATTAATTGGACAACTAAAAATATACAGAAAAAATTAACCAGGCATGGTGACACATGCCTGTAGTCCCAGCTACTCGGGAGGCTGAGGCAGAAGGATCGCTTGAGCCCAGGAGTTTGAGGTTGCTGTGAGCTAGGCTGACGCCACCGCACTCTAGCCAGGGCAACAGAGTGAGACTTTGTCTCAAAAAAAAAAAAAAAAAAAGAATTAGGAAGAAAACCAGGAAGTTATAATGCAAGGGAAGTAAAGTGAAGAGAACATTTCAAGAAAGGATGATCAACAGTGACAAATGCTGTCGGTCAGCTGAACAGGGTGTTGTTGGAGATAATGCCACTACACTTAGAGAACAAGTTGTTTATAGCTTTGAGGCCACATACCCAAAGAGTTGTAAGGAGACAGACAAAAGTGGCAGAAGTTAATAACCTCTATATGTAGTTCCTAAATGTAGGCTATTGCCAAGATTCTGTTCATTCCTGTGTTTTCAACATAGAATTTTGAGTGAGAAAGTCAAGTGTCAGCTCTGAAACACAGTTGGTATAGGTCCCAGAGAATTTAATATAAGCCTCCCTGAACCTTGGTTTTCTGAAATGTATAATGTTGATAATATTCACCTCAAAGAATTGGGAGATGAGATTATATTCAATAAAAAGCCAACTGCTACTGAATTAGATGTAATTATTCATTTCAAATTTAGAACTAAAAAAAGATGGAATGGAAACTTGAAAACTGGCATGGTTAGACGAATGACTTTTTTGGGACCCATGAGACATAACTACATCTGTAGAAAGAGGAAGGAGCTAGAAGGAAAGGAAAGGATGAAAATGCAACTGACAAAGGGCATAATAAGAGGAAGCCTGAATGGTGAGGATTAAGATGTAGATTATATTATAGTAACTCAGGAAGTAGAGAAAAAAGAAGGTAAGGACACAGAAATTCTGAGGCTGGGAGAGGAAATCAAGGAGCTCACTCAAGGTTTACACATAGGAGATAAGATCTTTTGAAAAGGATAAGAGTAGGAGGTCTTATAGATAAAGTTTAGAACTGCTGTGAAAAATGCTACAGGAAGTAAAAAAGAGTAGAATTAGGATGCTTATGAGAGCGTTATTACTCTTACGTACATCCAAATAAGGATGAATTCAAGTAGAATAGCATTCAATGGTACACTGCTTAAAAAAAAAAAAATCTGCACCCATCAGTCACACTAGAGGAAGGTGAGCGCTTTTCCTTTTAGAAAGCCACAGATGACATAACTCTTTCCATGGACTTAAACAGAATCTGCCAATCAATTGACATGGACTGCAGGTAGGAACATTGCCTTTTCCTCATACCATGGATGAGTGGAGGAAAATGGCACCTTTGGTGGATGCTATCTATTCCTTACCTTTCTGGTAGCTTCAAGTAATTATCTTTTCCTAAATAAATTAATATATACAAACAAATAAGAAATAGTAAGTTAACTAAATATCTGATTATATACTCCTCAATTCAACATCTTGGGGTACAGAATTTTCTTCAGGTGTTAAACAAAGGAAGTATACTAGATGATTTCTTTTGGTCCCCCAGCTCTGACATCAGGACTGTTTGGACAATGAAGCATTTACCTTCCTGTTCCTCTTCACTGTCACTTTCTAGAAATCGAGAGTCCATGCGAAATCTCTCATCGGTGCCAAAGTGTGACTGTAAATCCATGAGCTGCACGGACAAAGAACAAACACAATTGATAGCCACATTCCCAAGAAATTGCTTCTAAAGATGACTTTCCAAGTACACCTTCCCAGAGCACTTGTTCCCAAAATAAACATCCCAACATTGAAATATGGATCAATGTCTGCCTGCATTTACCTATATTTAAGAACTATGTCAAAAGATAAGGACATCTTGCAAGTTTTATTATTTTCAGTCTTCACTAACCTTCTGTCCAGCTCTGCCGTCAAACTGAGGTTTAATTTTGAACCTACTACTGTCATCTTCAGAATCAGATTCCTCATTATCACTGCTGTCAAACAGCTTCCCAGATGCTTTACCCACAGACTCCTATGAGAAAACAGAAACATTTATTAATAAATGAGCCAATCAGCATGTCCTTTATAATGTAATCTTCTCCCTCACATTTAAAAGCCAACAACCCTGGCGGGGCACAGTGGCTCACACCTATAATCTTAGCACTTTGGGAGGCCAAGGCAGGAGGATTGCTTGAGCCCAGGAGATGGAGATCAGCCAGAGCAACATAACAAGACCCTGTCTCTAAAAAATTATTAAAATTAAAAAAATTAAAAAATAAAATACAAACCAACAACTCGGATGCATCTACCAGGAATGAGTAGATGTCATGTCAGATGTTAACTCGTGTCTCAGTTATATCTAACTGGCCACAAGGATCATTAATCCAGGGGCTCCCTAATACAGCCTGGATTTGGGAGGTAGTTATTATTACATGCAAGAACACTTTCTGCAGTGTTTCACTAATATTGATGTCATTTTGCAGATGATGTAGAGAATATAGGTTCATATGGGAGAAACTCTCCAAGACCCTGTAGTCTCAGTGTGTGGTGGCCTGAGGAGCCCTGGGTCTCATCGAGGCTCTCAGGAAGATTTTATGTTGAGTTGGCAGCTGTGTGGAGGTCTTGGTATGCAATACACCGAAGTGGATCTGCAAAAGTAGACGAAGGCCCACAGGGACATCTGAACTTCTTACTTTTACCAGTTCCTCTCCTGGGTGGCTCTGCTCCTGAGTGGGTATCTCCTCTGTTTCACTTTCACTGTCAGAATCGAAGATGCTGTGCGTTGGCTTGTCCTCTGGATGACCATCCTAAGGAGGTCATCAAAAGCATTACATCTTACAATAACTGAACCTAAAACTGAACAATGTCCAAAGCTATCATCTGCTTCCCCTGCCAGGTCTACTTCCTGTCCTTTTTCCTTATCTAGCGAATGCCATCCTCATCCGTTTATTTGCCCAAGACAGAAACTTATGACTGCTCTTTCTTTCCCTAGTGAGTGATCACCAAGTCCTATCAATTCAGCCTTCTTGGTATCTCTTAAATCTATTCCCATTGTCGTTGCCTTGGTTTTGGGTCTCAACTTCCCAAAAGCTCTCTGGTTCCAGATTTGACCCATTCAATTTGTTTTTGTCATGGCCTAAAGGATCTCTCCCAAATAGAGGTCGCCAAACTTTTTCTGTAAAGGGCCAGAGGATAAAGTATTCAAAAACCGTTTTTAACTTGAAGACCATACATAAACAGACCATGGGCTATATGGCCAGCAAGCTGTAGTTCACCAACTCCTGTTCTGAAATAGACACAACTGATCTTCATTCCTTTGCTTAAAATTTTTCACTGTCTTTTCAGAGCCTTAAGAATAAAGTCTAACCTCTGTAGCCTCTTCACAACTCACTCCTACTTATTGCTCTTGCCTCATTTCTTGCCACCTCACACTCTATAAATTTCAGTCACACTAATTGAAAATATTCACTATTGTACAGACTGTTTCTTTTTCCTGGAATGGCTTTCTTCTCCCTTCCTACTCTCTCACCTGTGCCTGACCAACTCCTATTTATCCTTTCACACTACTTGGCTCAAGCTGAGGAAGCTCCCGACAGTCCTGATGCTTCTCCTGCATCCCGCCAGGGCACAGGGACATACCCCTCTTTCTGCCCCATGGAACTGAACTGTGACTGTCTGCCACACCATGAGCCAATAACTGCATAAGAGGTAGGACCACCATCCTCATTCTGTAAATCTGGCATTTACTGTACAGATGTACTTAACAACTGGAAGAAAGAACAAAGGTGCATTACAGTAAATCTTGGCAAGACTTGGCAAGGTATAAATCATTTAGTAAGTGATTTATATGTAAATTCAGACACATTAGATATATTACTTAACTGTATCAGTTACAGCTTCTAAATGGAATTATAGAGAAAATTTTAGATAAAAACAAATTAATTAAACATGTTTTCAGTAAACAGAGTTTAATCTCACTTCCTTTGGGATATACTCCCCAGGGTGAAAACACTTCTAGCTCAAGGACACAAAACAGGAAACTGGTAAACACTAAGACAATCAGCTTTTAGGGGGGAAGACCTACCTTCAGGGGAAGGAAAAGTCGTACTTTGAGAAAGTTCTTGTTAAATGTATAGATTGAAAATACACTCACCAAATTTGCCAGAGCATTATGCACCAGCTTCTTCTGCACTTCTTTTGCTTTCTGCCTTGCCTCCAAGGCTGCCAAACGCTTCTGGTTGTCTTCAGCATGCTTATCCTTAGCACTCGCATCCAAAGAGTGACTAACAGAAAGTGGGAAGTCAGTTTTGCTTTCCTGACTGTCCTTCCTGGAGGAGACCTTTGGTGATTTATTAAAAGATGTGAGGCTGTTTGAATCAGACCTTTCTTCCTCTGAAACTTTTGTCTTTGTGGTACTATGGCAACTATCTTTGTCAAAGCCTATCTTGTGAGTCTTTGCACTTAAACTTAAGGATTTCTTACCTTTTAATGGCAACAGACTGGAAATAGGATTCCTACTTCCCTTTTCTGAACTGCTGGAGGACACCACATTGCGATCTGGACTCTCAAAAGTGGACTGTCTTTTTTGAGGCTGAATATGGTTTGGGCCATTTGCCCTCTCTGCATGTTGGAATGGAGTCAGTTCATTTGATGAACCATTAGCATGTGTGGAACCATTTTCCATGGAAATGCTTATGGGATCCTCATGTTTCAAGGAATTCTGATCTTCATTTATATTGTTAGGTGCAACATTCCCTTTCAAGGATTTTTTCATTGACTCCTTTCCATAGAGACTGCCTATTCCCTTGAAAGCCTGAAATTTTGGTTTTAAGTTGTTTTCCTTTGGTTTCTGTTTACCACAGGTGTTCTCTCCTTCTAAAAGGGAAGCCACAATTTCCTCAGGATGAATACACTGTCGTCCTCTGTGGAAGCTATCAGGAGTCTTGGGGCTCTTGGAAACTCTGTCAAACTTGCAGTGAGTGGTGGATTCTAGGCTATCACTCTCAGTATCTTCATTTTGAACCTTCAGATCACTGCCAGCCAACTGTTCCAAATCAGCTAAAGTGAGATTCACACGGAGACAGTTTTTCATGATGGCATTATACTCCTTGTCTTCTTCAGACTCAGCTAATTCTGATGTAGAACCAGCATCTCCACTGCTACTGGAGTCAGAAGGAGATTTACAATTAAGAGGTTTCACCCCATGAGTGAGGGCTGACTTTACATTGTTTTTTCTTTTTTGTACTTTAATACAATGACCAGAAAGCTCAGAGTTTTCTCGATTTTTGAAAGAAGTTTTCTTGTATATAGATTTTTCCATTTGTGAAAATTCTGTACTGTTTTTGACTTTATTGACATTTTTTTTCATTGCAATGATTTCATCTGTATCTCCTGAATCATACTCACAGTCATTTCCCATAATATCATTATCACTAACATGGCAAGAGACATTATTTTTGATATCTAAACCTGTTAAATGAAGTTTGTGAACAACTGATTTGAAGTCATCCCTTACAACTTCAAAGGGATCATCTTCAGATTCATTTATTAAGGACCACGTAGTTCTCCGTAAATTTTCCTCTTTTGCAATCATCGCTTTTAATTCGTCTTCAGAATCAATATCATCATCAGACATGCTATTTTTCTTCCTGGCAGTTTCCAAGCCAGATGTCTGAAAAAGTACATTATTAAATTTTTGAGTATCAGAACCAAGTTCAGGGGGTGATTTATTAGGAGTAATGGAATCACAAGGTCTTTTTCGTGCAGCTTGTTGCTGTGTTAAGTATGGACTCTCCATCATCCAACTGGACCTGGGATTCATGGCTAGATACCCAGTGGAACCTTTGTCCTGCGGCACTTTTTTCATCTTCTTAGATGGGCCACAAAAGTCAGAGAACTCTCCTCGCCGTTTTTTACTCATAGGGTCATTGCCTCCTTCTATTTCCCAAGTGAGGCTGGATATAGGAATGGTATTTGGGAAATCCTCCCCTATTTTCTTTAGGTTGTGGCAGTATTTTGATGGATCATATTTTATGATGTTACCCAAGTCAAGGAACAAAACTAGTTTTAGGAAAACCTATCAATCTGGTGGAACAAAGAATACCGTTTAATCTCGAGCAAGTCATTTATCTTCACTTACCTTCAGTTTCCTATCAAACAAAATGAGAACTTCACTAGGTGACCTTTCAGGGTCTAAGAAATTGAGCTTTTAATTACATTTCCCAAGTTAAAACCAAGTACCACCACTATTAGCTGGCAGAAAATACTTGGACCATATGTAGATATTATAGCAAACCTGTTCAGATTATATTCTAGGTATACAGCCCAAGGACTATATACCTAGCAGATAGATCTGTGTTCAGGGGAACTCAGAAGGGTATGGTTAGATGACACATGTCCTTTATTCTCAAACTCTTTTGGCCATTCCCCTCTTCTCAGTACTTACTCATCCTAGCTCTGATTCTCCTAGCTTAATGACATCCATTTCACATGAATTCACTGTCTGCAATACAGTTTTTTTTTTTTTTGAGACAAGGTATTGCTCTGTCACCCGGACTAGAGTGCAGTGACGTCACAGCTCACTGCAACTGTAAGCTCTTGGGCTCAAGCAATCCTCCTGCCTCAGCCTCCAGAGCAGCTGGGACTACAGGCATACACCACCATGCCCAGCTAATTTTTTAAAAAAATTTTGTAGAGATGCGGTCTCGCTATGTTGCTCAGGCTGGTCTCAAATTCCTGGGCTTAAGTGATCGTTCCGCCTCAGCGTCCCAAAGTGCTAGGATTACAGGTGTAAGCCACCACGCCTGGCCTGCAATACATTTTTTAGGCCTTTATTAGAAAGCTAATAATTCTTTACCAGGGCTGTTTTGTTGTTGACATTATCCAGAAAGATTCTACTTAATGTCAATATGCTGTAATGATAACTGCCATTTGCTGAATCCCTAAAACATATGAATAGGCAAGTATTATTTAAGCTATTGCTCTTTTAAAGTTCCTTTGTTCATTTATTAGCTACTTAATACATGCCAATTATATGTGAGGTGTGCCAAAAAGTGTCTATTATCTCTACTACCCTTTAACATCTACCCCTTGCTGTCAGTGGCTGCCACTGGTGGGAAGCCAGAAGATGGAGAGGAAAAAATCAATACTTCCTGACTTTGTGGCACTATCAGGGAGGGCAGAATTAGTAGCTATGGCCAGTGCTACTGGGACCTCAATTCAGGCAGTGGCCTCAGTGGCACAGTAGCCATGGGCTCTGAGGACACATCTTTTTGCTTCTTTATCCCCAAGGGTGGGAGTGGTTTACTGCAGTTGTCAATCACTAGGCAGCCTGACTATCAGCTTTTGGCTCCTCCAGCACTTTTTTAAACCAATTTCACGTATTACATGCCCTCTGTTTGACATAACTGAACTGTTTCTGCTTCCCTGACTGAAACACAGGGTTAAGAGTTGAAGGGTATACCAAGAGAGGCCTCTGCTCAGAAGTCTATGATACCAGGTTTTCAAGATCTTGGACAATCTGACCTTATTGAACGGGCATCAGAATTTGCTCTCCCTGGGTTCCATACTCTTTTTTTACCCACCATTCTCTTGCCTGTCTACATATTTTTAGCTACTATTTTCCTCCTTCCAGGACTACTTCCTATCACTTTTCTATTATTTTAAAACATAACTCAGTTCTTCTAAAAGTTCTTTAAGGATGGCCCCTGTTCTTTCACCCCATTTTAGCTCTTTTAGCAACAGCTTTGAATCCAAGTGCATCAAGAAGATGAATAAATTAATAAGAAAAACTGCTTCTTTGGCACTAAACATTTCAATTTCTTTCCCCCCCTTTAAAAAATTTTTTTTTTATTTTAGAATATTATGGGGGTACAAATGTACTGGTTACATGGATTGCTTTTGTGCAGGCTGAGTCAAAGTATAAGTGTGCTCATCACCCAGATAATGTATATTGTGCCTGCTATGTGTGATTTCACCCATCCCCTAAATTTCTTACTTGTGTAAAACCTCACTCCACTCTCTCATTATTCTCTAAATGTTTAACATATGTAGATAAATACCTTGCTTAGAAATTGAGAAGATAACACACTGCTTAATAAACACCTCAAGATTTACTGATAGAGGCTGTGAAAAGCTAAAAGTATTTTGCCAATATCCATCACTAGCAAATAATAATTCCTCTAAGAGGCCGATCCTAAAGGATATTTTACGTTTGTGTTGATTCTTGAGGTGAAGAACAGGTAAGACTCTTCCAAATTTACTCACAACCCAATTCTAAAAGAAAAAAAAAAGAATTTATTCACTATATGTCACAAAGGGAAAAGATTATAATAACAACAATATAGAAATATAATTTTTAAAAATTGAACTCAACAGTGGGGTATGAACTCACGGTGGGCTATGATTCCTATTGGGTTTAGTTTTCTGACAATGAAACAAGAGTTCTCAAAGAGAAAAACTGTGGGAGGAAAGAAAAAACCAGGAAATTTCGAACAGCTATCAACCCAAGTAAGCTGAGGAGGATGCTACATAAAAAACATTAGCCATTAAAAAGGCAAACTTGGGACTTGCCTGTACTCCTCACCACCTATGTTCCTTATATGTTTACCTCAGCCTGGGTTTTGATTTTTCTTTCTATAAAACGGTGGAGAACTATGCTTACTCAGAAGTTGTAAACACACCTTGAAAATCATAAAGCATTATTTATGTTATCTGCTTCAAAGCAAGGGAAAAAAGGCACCTGGCTTTAGATGTGGCAGGTGCGATTACGTAGTCTCAGACGTCAGCTCTTGGGTTGGCTCTGGCTACACGTACTCACCTTGTGCCCTGGCACTTCTGTCCCTGGCACAGCTTTCATATGGAAATTCACCCCTTCCATCTTTTCTAACAAGTTGTTGTTGCCTGGTGTTGATTTTTCTCTTTTTGCTTTTGCTTCTTCTCTCTCTTGGGCCAATCTGCATGAAAGAGAAAACATAAATAAAAGAGTTAAAGTAATCAATCATGTACAATGGTTATTTCCCTTCGGGTGACCCTAAATGAGCACTACAGTTATTTATAAAGTAAATAACTTTATAGTTTTAAAAACCAAAATAAAACAAAGCTCTTTGTTAATAGCATAATAGCTTATATAATTTTGGGAACACATAACATGTTTTCGTTGTAGAATATTGAAAAATACGGGAACATGAAGAAAACAAAACGTATTCCCTATCCCATATCCTATTGTTAACATTGTCTGCTTACTTTACCTCTATTCCATATGTAAATATGTACATTTTAAAATGTAATCCAGATAATACTCTAAGTACAGTTGGGTACCCTTCATGTATCAACTTATCATCACATATTCTTTGAAAACATCACCATAATTGCTGTACAACATGCCATTACACAAAATTATCATAATTTATTGACCAGGCCCCTACTGCCAGCAACTGAGCAGTATAGGGCTGGACAGGATCAAGGGGCTTTTTCATCAGGGCTGTTACACTAGAGCACGGAAATTTCTCTCCTCCTGGTCTGCCCACTCCAGTCAGGTTCCCTAAGCCCTAACTTCCACTCCCATACCTGTGCTCTGCTCCAGCAGATGTCCCAGCTCCCCTTCCTGGAAGACAGAGACCATGGATCACAGCTCTCTCAATTTTCCCCTTTCAGTTTATGTACTTCTGGAATTTTATGTATCCTTTCTCTCTTCACTCTCCTCTATGAGGAAGAGGTGGCTTTCAGAGCCCAATTTGGTAAGTCTTGATTATTTCTACCTTCCTAATGAAGAAGATGCCATCTCAACCCTCCAATGCAAATTACCCCCACCTTACTCAGAACTGGACAACTGCAGTGACCAGTCCTCACTGGCCTCATTTCCTTGGATCTGTCTCCTTTATGTTCCACTTCCCAGAATGGCCATGATATTCATGCTCCTCATGCACATTGACACAGGTACTCCAAGGCAGCTGCATCATGGGTGCACATTGCTCAGCTTGGGGCCACAGTGCCTGCACACAGTTAGCACTGAAGTACTACTGAATGAACGCTACACGGCCACCCTGTTCAGTCAGAGGCCGCCAGCTGAAGAACAAAATTAAATTCTGACCTTTTCCACAAGACAAGTCCCCTAAAACATGCCTCCAGTAGGCTATCTGCTACTTGTTTTAATCTGTATCTGCTCTTAGGACATTTTGTTGGTTTAGAATAATCTCATCAACTCTTGTGCTTGCTCCATCTGTATATTCTTAGATTTGCTCCGATTTTGAAAGCTGCCAAATTAATATTTTTTCTCCCTGAAAATATCTTTAGGATTTTAAAAGCTCTAATGGTTGTTACAGTCTTGTTTTTTTTTTATTTTTTTGAGACAGAGTCTCACTCCATGGCCCCGGCTAGTGGTGTCAGCCTAGCTCACAGCAACCTCAAACTCCTGGGCTCAAGTGATCCTTCTGCCTCGGCCTCCCGAGTAGCTGGGACTACAGGCATACGCCACCATGCCCGGCTAATTTTTTCTATATGTTTTTAGTTGTCCAGCTAATTTCTTTCTATTTTTTTAGTAGAGACAGGGTTTCGCTCTTGCTCAGGCTGGTGTTGAACTCCTGAGCTCAAACAATCCGCCCGCCTCAGCCTCCCAGAATGTTGGGGTTACAGGCGTGAGCCACCGCGCCCGACCCCACCGTCTTGTTTTTAAATCACTTGTATAATTACTCTTGTACCTCTCACACAGGGATCTCCTATTGTCTTTATAACTTTGTACAATATTAGCATTAATAGATAATACCAACAAAAACAATTTAGTAGTGTCTATTAAAATTTAAATGTGGATAAATCTAAGATTCAGCAAATCTTTTTTTTTTATTTTTTGAGACAGAGTCTTGCTCTGTTGCCCTGGCTAGAGTGCAGTGGCATCATCACAGCTCACTGCAACCTCAAACTCATTGGCTCAAGTGATCCTCCTAACTCAGACTCCCGAGTAGCTGGGACTACAGGCGTGCACCACGATACCCAGCTAATTTTTCTATTTTTAGTAGAGACGGAGTCTTGCTCTTGCTCAGGCTGGTCTCAAACTCCTGAGCTCAAAGCAATCCTCCTGCCATAGTCTCCCAGAGCGCTAGGATTATAGGTGTGAGCCACTGTGCCCAGCCTAGCTCCTTTTTTTTGACATAAAAACCCTAGAAAAACACTTGCACAAATGCAGGAGACATGCTCAACGATCATCTAAGATCATGAAAAAATTGAAACACACTAAATGTCCATCAGAAGGGAGGGTCAAGCTATACTGTGGTATAGCCATTTTCTGAAACAGTACTAACAGCTTGTTATAAAGAAGGGGGAAAATCTACATTGCCACAAAAGATTCTGCTAAAAAAGAGAAAATAAATACATAGATCTACTTTTCTAGGTTAATATATGCATATGTAAATTCCCTGAATTACCTTTTTCAGTAGGGGATTCAGAGTTGAGAGGTATTTAGCTCTACTTGTTATGCTTGAATTTGCCAAGAATGTAATAATATATTACCTGATAATTTCAAATAAATTAGGTGAATATATAAAACCATTTTCAAGATAAAAATACAGTTTAAATTCACATGGAGCAAAACTTACCTGTGCAAAAAGCTTTCTTTTGCTAGCTGAATTTGTAATGTTCCACCTTTCCATTTTGTTTTGTTTAAAACAGACATACCTATAACGTAAAGAATTATTATCCAAGTACATGGCAAAGCAAAAATATATTTCAGCATGTGCTTTTTCTAATTATTTAGTACCAAGAAAACTAGACTTGTTTATCACAAAGAGACACAGAGGAAGTAGAAGAAAGAAAATGAGACCTGGAGAGAGGGGACTTAGGATCTGTCTCATCTTGACCACTTACCAAAAGGGTTCTTATACTTCCTATCTCACAGTGTTAGTAGATTGGAATGAGGCAAAATGTGTAAACTGTAAAGCAAAACTTGCAATTTGTTTATCAACCATCAGGAACCTCTAAATAACTGACATTTACTTAATATTTCATTCTTATTTCATACCATAACAAGGAAACATTAATGTAATCTTTTCAGGTTAAATCAGAGAACACTTTGGAATCCTGTGCATTTTATTTATTTATTTTTTTTAAGCTATAGCTGCTTGCTGGAATGGAAACTCAATGTTACTTGTTTTTTTTTTTTTTTTAAATTTTTGTAGAGACAGGGTCTTGCTATATTGCCCAGGGTAGTTTGAACTCCTGGCCTCAAGTGATCCTCTTGCCTCAGACTCCCAAAGTGCTAGGATTAACTGTATGAACCACCGTGCCTGGCCTGTAGCACCTTACTTTTATTTATCACCTCATACTAATTATTACTGTATATCTTGCAAATGAATTAACTGCAAATGAATGAACTATGTTTGAATTGCTATGCCCAGCAGTTGATTTTCCTGCATATGTTTCCTTAATAATAACCACTAAGAGATAGAATTTTCCAGATGGTAGGTACTATACTAAGTACAAATGTATCATTTAATTCTTACAGTAATGTTATGAGGCAAGCACTATATTTTGTCATTCATCACATAAGCAAATTGGGGCTTAGAAGTTTAAATAACTTCCCACAGGTCACATAGCCTAGCCGATGTGCTCTTAACCATAACTTTATATTTGTCACATATATTTCCTCACTGAACAATAAAGCAATCTTCTTGCAAATGAAATTATAAAAGACTGATGGCCTTCTTTGTCTATTACCATGTTCCCTTTACTTATCTTTCAATGTCTTTTGACTTTTCAGCCTCCAAGTAACAAGAATACATTGCTGCATCAGTGGCAATATGGATTATCTCCCCTTCCTTCTTCATTGAAGGCCACTGTTTGCCCTTGGCTTTACTAAACTTATAGACAAGCGATTTCACAATTTCAAGGACATGGTCTTACAAGAGCATATTCGAAAGCCCTCTTCTTACAGTATTTAATAATAAGGATTAGCTGCCTAAGAAATGAACAGATGGAGGAGGAAGAGTGTGGCGTAATATGCAGTGGGGTATGTGTTTCCAGCAGTTTCTGTGGAAGTTTGGTTCCTCCTCCAAAATATTTGAGAATAGCAGTTTTTTAAAAATCCAGTAGCAATGTGCTGCCATTTGTCTTCCGACGCCAAATGGGATGGACCTAAACCTGCAGAGCTGTAGGATACCAGAATTCTGTTGATCATGGTTGTCCCTTCAGATGACTTAAAAGTGCTGTTGAGGTTTAGATTTAGAACCAAAGTTATTCCACGTGACGCAGTGACACAAACTGGCAAATGCTTCAGAAAGTATATGGCTATCTTACATTTTTTCAGGTCTGCTTCTGCTACTTTGATGTTAATATATGCAAAGATTTTCTGTGGGTTTCCTAAAAAAAAAAAGAAAAAGAAATTTATTTAAACTTTCATCTAGGAACAACGTAAAAATGATTAAGTTTCTAAATTTAAAAAAATTAGTTTTTGAAAATTTACTCTTTGAAAGAAAAACATTATTATTATTATTATTTTTGAGACAGAGTCTCGCTCTGTCACCCTGGGTAGAGTGCAATGGCATCATATTAGCTCACTGCAACCTAAAACTCCTGGGCTCAAGCGATCCTCCTGCCTCAGCCTCCCGAGTAGCTGGGACTACAGGCCTGAGCCATAATGACCAGTTAATTTTTCTATTTTTAGTAGAGACGGGGTCTCGCTCTTGCTCAGGCTGGTCTCAAACCCCTGAGCTCAAGCAATCTTCCTGCCTCCACCTCCCAGAGTGCTAGGATTATAGGCATGAGCCACTGCACCCAGCTTTGAAAGAAAAACTTTATCTATTTTTCACTGGACACAAAAATTGCATTTTTTAAGTTTGATTATCAAAATATTCCAAAAAAGTCAGTAAGAAAGTCAAGTAGTCAGTTAAGAAAACATCTTGATTGTATGCTAGTGATATATTCTACTTTACCAGAACACTTAATCAATGTCAGAATGTCAGTTGTGAAAACTAAGTTATATTTTTCTGAAATGAGATGTTTTGCAATCTAGAATGTTTCTGATTTGAGAAACTAATTATGGTCAAGTTCTGAATCATATGTAACACCTCCAGGGCATCACATCATGCTTGGTGTTCATAGCTAATACTCATTTCTGAGGTTGCTTTATTTTATAACACATCTGAGATACATCTGCTTTTACTCAGTGAAGGACTATAAACTTACCTTGGTCATCTTTCCGTGTGATGATCTCCACATTAGAAACTTCTCCAAATCTGCTGAACTGATTTTGTAGGTCTGTTTCAGAAATGGCCTCGCCAAGGCCACCCACGAAAAGGCGCTTTGTTTCTCTGTTGGCTTTCATGAAGGCTGGGCATATATTCAGTGTATTCTAGTGGGAAAAGCAATTTCTTGTATTCAGGAAGAGTTCTTTCCTTTAGTTCTTCTCAAATCTAACAAACAACTCTTTCCTCTTAACCTTCTGTGCTAAATTGGTCACCTGGACTTGTGTTTCACTTGCTATTGTATTGCTTCCAAGTTTTATCCCTAGAGATTTTCTGCTCAAGCCCTACAACCACATTCTCTATGAAGCACTTCGGAACTGCACCCTCACACTCATAAAGACACAGTACAGGCAAATGCTTTCCCTCTAAAAATGGCCACAATATTGCACTCTACACCTTCTCATTTGCTTATTCATGTTGTTAGGTGTTTTTCCTTCATTCATTCATATGTTCACTTATTGATTTCAGCAAACATTTGCAGAAATAGGATGTGGCAGGTAATACACTAAAGCTGCAGTCCCCGACCCCCAGGGGTGCAAGGTGAGCTGCCAGTGAGGGAAGCTTCCTATGTATTTACAGCCGCTCCCTATTGCTTGCATCACTGCATAAGCTCCGCTTCCTGTCAGATCAGAGGTAGCGTTAGATTCTCAGAAGAGCATGAAACCCACTGTAAACTGCACATGCAAGAGATCTTGGTTCCGTGCTCCTTATGAAAATCTAATGCCTGATGATCTGAGGTGGAGCTGAGGTGGTGATGCCAGTGCTGGGGAACAGCTGCAAATACAGATTATCATTAGCAGAGAAGTTTGACTGCACAATAAGTGCAATGTGCTTGAATCATCCCAAAATCATCCCCACCCCTCGCCCCGTGGAAAACTGTCTTCCATGAAACCGGTCCCTGGTGCCAAAAAGTTCAGGGACCACTGCCCTAAGGGATAAAAAGACAGGTCTCCATCCTAGAGCTCCTCATAAGTAAATAAATGCTGCGATTATAATATTACGTCACAATAAAAGTACTTGCAAAAGGCTATTCAGGCACAAAAAGAGCAAACTGAAATTACAGTGAATACAGATTTGTGTTTTTACTACATGCCTACACTGTACAAAGTAGTTTGCATGTAACCTATTTCTCGGATGAGCAGATGAGGTTAAGTCACTGTCCTAATGCCATACCTAAAATTAGTGATGAAGCCAGGATTATAATCCAGATCTAAATTCAGAACTTGGAATACTTAATACTATACTACGCAAACTGTTGGATTACAGCAGACTCAGGAAAACTTTTTCGGAGATACTGAGGACCGTCATAAGGTCTTTCATCTCGTTTAACACCCCACAGGCGCTCAGCTCCCACCCTGCCCATCAGCAAGAGCTGAAAGACTCCTTCCAAGTGAGCCCTAAAAACAGCGCCCAGAAGCCCAACGCATAGCATGTGCTCTGGGCAGAGCTAGGTCTACCTCTTCCTGGTAGCCTCCGCCCCCAACTTCTCCACCCTAGCCTTCTTCCTCCGAGAAGACCCAAAGAAGTGAAGGGTGAGGCCCCGTCACTTCGCACGCTCCAAGCCCACTGCTCACCACGTCGTCTCCTGCAGCCAGCTGGGAAGCAGCCCCTAACTTGCTGTCACATGTCCCAACAGGAATATTCTTCTCTTCCTTCCTACTCGATTTCCAACCCAGCCTCCTAAGGTTCCGTTACCACACTCAGTTCCTGAGGGCTCTTTATTTCGTTTCCCGTTCTCCGATCTACCGTGATGCCTCCGCCACCTTCCCCTCAACGACCGTCGAAGAGCCCAAACCAAAATCCCCTAGTTTCTACTGAAGAGGCTTCTCGCCATATGTTCACCGATTCCTGGACTAGGTCGGCGGAAGTGACGGATCAGAAGTAACGAGGCGCTCCCCTCATGTCATCCGGAACTGCCTCTTCAGTGACACGGCCGGGTGGCTCCAAGGTTGCTGGCGGGGGTGGGCAGCTGAGCTCTTGGGCTTCGGCTTGGAACGTACCAGCTCTCTCGAAAATGTAGGGGCTGCTTCAAGACAGCCATGGAACGTCAGGGACCCGGATATCGTGCGAGTGCGGAGTTGGACGCGCTGGGCAGTGGGGTTCACGCGTTGCTTTCCCGTCGCCCCCCGCGTGAGCTCCGGATGGTCCGCACTGGAGCGCGCGCGCGATACTTGAAGCGCCCGGCTAGGCGCGGCAGTCGGGAGGTGAGAGCGGCGCTTCAGCACCGGCTTGCTTCAGTGCCGCGTCATGGACGCCGAGCTTGCTGAGGTGCGCGCCTTGCAAGCTGAGATAGCGGCCCTTCGGCGGGCGTGTGAGGAGCCGCTGGCGCCCTGGGAAGAGACGTCCCGAGTGCAGTACGTGGCCCCTGCCCATCCCGTCAGGCCAGCCGGCCCGTGTCCCCTGCCACAGACATTCCTGGGCTCCTGCTGCTAGCCAGGCCTTTGCTGAAAATTGTAGCGTGGGACGCCCCGAAATGTGGGCATGAACTAGTATCGGTCCTGTAAAGACGATGGCCCAGAGTTGTGGGCACCGCGTGTGGAGCCCCGTTGTAAACGCATTGCAGTGAATTAACTCGTTTAATCGCAGTGCTATGTGTTGATGACCATCAAGAAGAAAGTCCCTTTTGGTAGACAGAGGTACCTAGTTGGGATTTAATAACTCCATTTGGTTTCAAGGCATTCGTTTTTATGGGTCAGCTAACCATGGCGAGTGATATTGACTTTTGTTTATGATGACATAAAACTTCGTTTGAAAAATAACTTAGGTGAAAAAGTTGGTGTAAGGAAAAACAGTTGGAGAATGTTGGAGAATTTGGCAATTCTCTGAGGTAGGTGCTGTTGTTAACCCCGTTTTAAAGTTAAGAAAACTGAGGCTCAGAGAAGATAAGTAGCTTGCCCCCCCGGGTTCCAGCGAAAGGAAGTGTCAGAGCTGGATTGGGACCCAAAAATCTAACTCCAAAGCCTAGGCACTTGCTTTTCGTTTGCTGAAGGAGAGATAAAGGTCTGTAACAGTTAATCTATGTATCTTAAACATGCAAGCTACTTGAAAATATAAACTGTCTTCATTTTTTAAGTCAAGGCTAATTTGACATAGTTGTAGAGAGAATGAGATTTTCTTCAGCCTCCTGGACAAGAGTTTGTAGAAAATGGGAAGGAGGAAGAAGAGGTATAAAGAAAATGTTTGCATGCATGTTCTATGTGGTCATGAAAGTAGAGGATTCTCTAATTGGTAACAGGGAGAGGAAAACAGGTGAACAGGGCACATAATATACTCCTCCACAAGTGAGAGTAATTGCATTAATGACCCTTGTTACTTGAGTTGTGTCCCACAGATTGGAAGTTTTAGCATCACCTGGGAATTTGTTAGAAGTACAGACTTCAGCTGCATCCTGGGTCTACTGAATCAGAATCTGCATTTTAAAAGGACACCTTGCTCTAACAGACAATCTGTGTGCACACTGTAAAGTTTGAGAAGCACTGTATCATACTATGGGGAGAAGTGGTTTCTTTACTGGCCACAAGCTGTTATTATTAGCCCAGAATAGCATAGTAGATTACTCATGTAATCTGGGACTCCTCAATGATTGACTTGGGAAATCAGAAGAGACCAGACTGTGAGAGACATTAAATCTCAGTCCGAAGTACTTGGATTTAATGTGAAATTTCTTTTCTCTATGAGAGGAAAGATTGGAACCTGTGTACCAAGCTATTATTTAAGTGACTTGAAATGGTCGGATGGATTGGAGGTGGGAAAATTGGAGCTAAATTATTCAGTTATATCCATGTGTCCAGCTGTGGAGCCAAATTGCTTGCCTTCAAATTCTGGCTTATTGACTGAATGATCTTAGTTAAGTGATCTCCCCTTTCTGTGCTTCAGTTTCCTCCTTGGTAAAATTGTAGCCAAATTACTGGTTTGTTATGAGGACTAATTGAGTTAATATATGTAATTCATTAGAACAGTACTTGGATCATTACAGTAACTAACGCTAATTAATAGACCATTGTTGTTTTGTTTTTTTTTTTTTTGAGTCAGAGTCTCACTCTGTTGCCTGGGCTAGAGTTCCATGACGTCAGCCTAGCTCACAGCAACCTGAAACTCCTGGGCTCAAGTAATCCTACTGCCTCAGCCTCCCGAGTAGCTGGGACTACAGGCATGCACCACCATGCCTGGCTAATTTTTTCTATATTTTTAGTTGTCCAACTAATTTTCTATTTTTAGTAGAGACAGGGTCTCACTCTTGCTCAGGCTAGTCTCGAACTCCTGAGCTCAAATGATCCACCCGCCTTGGCCTCGCAGAGTGCTAGGATTACAGGCGTGAGCCACCACGCCCAGCCAGTAGACCATTGATTTTTAAACTCAAGTTATGTATAAATTTGTTTTATAGGAAAAAAATTTCTTGTGAATACCTAATTTTGACAAAATTTTTGTACCACTAAGACAAATTTACAAATAAAACTAAAACCAATAAAATTCAAACTAATCCAAAATAGTTCAAACTAACATTAATTGAAACTAACATTAGTTGAAATAGATTAATGATATTTTGGTCAAAGTAAATAGCTGTTATGAATGAGAATATGCAGGTTCTCTTTTTTTGTGATAAATTGTACATAATATAAAATTTACTATTTTAATGATTTTTAAGATATTGTTCAGTGGCATTACACACGTTCACATTGTTGTGTGACTATCACCACTATCCATCTCCAGAAACTTCATCACCCCAAACTCTATACCCATTAAATAATAATTCCCCATTTTCCCCTCTAATAACCACAGGTTCTTTTTTTTTTTGAGTTCTGTATGTTTGTCCTTTAATGTGATGACTTGGTTCTCTTGCCGTTTTGCTTCATTGGAAATACCTTGAAATTTTCATTCATAGAGTACTGTGACATTTGGTGTTCACTTGTCAGGAGTTTGTCCCTCAAGTACGAAGATTGCCTCTGTTCTTTTTTCATTGACTTTCTATATTTAAAGCAGTTTTGGGGGGCATCAATCTATGATGGCAAATGCAAAAGGGTGTGGTAGTCTCATGATACAGAATGTACTTAATATTTTAAATTAGCACTAAAAACAAAATTAAAAAAATTTACAGACTTTACACAAGTCTTGGATCCCCATTGTTAAGAATATGAAGTTAGATTATTCCCTGTATACATGATACAAGGTCATGAAAGCATTGTCTAATATAGTGGAATTAGAAATTGAAAAGGAAGGCTAGTTCTGTGAGGGAGCAGAAAGGATGACCCTTGGTCAGGATTTGAGGCAACTGAAGGAGGCAAGGACGGCTTCCAAGATACGGAGTCTGAAATATCTAGAGGAAGACTTTATCATTAACAAAAGTAGGGGAATTTAGAGGAAAAGCTGATTCAACAAAAAAACATTTGGTGAGATATCAAGCTAGATCTACTTTGCAGGAAAAAAGATAACATGGTTAAAGGTATATTTTAGGAGTCACTGGTGTAGAGGAGCTGAGGCTAATCATTGAGCATTCATCTGGAAGTAAAGAGTACATATTTAGGACAGCAGAGCTTAAGTGTTAGGGTTTTCCTCTAATGTTGGAGACAAGAAGCAGAGATGGGGAGGACCCAAGGCATAAAGTCAGAATCAAAATAATCATGCCCCAGAATCCAAGGAAGGGATGTTTTAAGATGGTAGAAGTCGACAGTATAGAATGTAGCAGAGAGTTTAAGGGAAATAGTGACAAAAAGTAAAATAGCATCCAATGCAATTATTAGCTAAAATTTAATTCTTTTTTAAAAGGAAAATAGATTTATATGTTCTTAGTGAAGAATATCTGGTTATAGTGGTATTGAAAGAAATTGCTCTATTTCTCTTTGGAATTTTTACTCCCTGTATTCTTAGAGTTCTTGAGAAATCTCTTTCTTAGTATGAAATGTTCTGTGATATTTACTTGTGTTATAAACTAAAGTTAGCTAATGGATTTTGTTTTTTAAAAACTTCAAAACATCTTTTTAAATAATTTGAGAGGTCTTGGTGTATCAAACATTTAGGTTGGAATTTCCTGGATTAGAGCTGACATTTTAATTTTACAAGGTACACCTGTTATAACTTATTTTAAAAGTGTTTCTAATATGTAGAAATATGATAGTATAATTTGGTTATGTTTGTTTTTTCTTAAAGAGGGCGGTGATAGTAGTCATGTTGGTTTTGAAAAAATTCTTACAAAGGTTTTTTTTTGGAGAGGGGAGGTGATTTAATGAGAAGAGAATAACGTACAAATTTGGGAATGGTTTGAGGGGAATTAGATGAAACATTTGTTAGTACTTGGAGTAATTATTTCTGATATTTGCTTTTTAGAAAATCATTTCGAGAAATATATCAGTCAGATTCTGAAGGATGGAAATCTTCAAAAGATCTGAGAAGTCACCTTGGACATTTAGAATCAGAACTTTCATTTTTAAGTACACTTACTGGCATCAATATAAGTAATTACTCTATGAAGACAGAGGACCTAACAAGCACTGAGATGACAGAAAAGAGTAAGCCTTATTTTTAATCCTTATTATGCGTAGGAAATTGGTTGTCATAATGTTGAATTAAAATTCTACAAGGTAACTATTTGAAAGTATGGTTTAGTCAGGTGTCTTTTGAACATCATAGTGTGCATAATACTCTTAAAAGCTACCCGAGGTAAATATTAAAGGACATAGTTTCTGTCATTAAGTACTATAATAGTCAAGTAATAGTGATAAGTGATTAGTGATTTTAAGAACAACAGTACCATTAATTTGTAAATTTTAGGAGATGTTCATTGCTGATGTGAAAGCTGCGTCATCTTGGTGTCTTATTCCTAACTATTGTAGTCTTCGGCCAAGGTAAATGTTTCAACAACTGGACCTTTTGCCAGAAGGAAAGTTTCTGGTCCCAGTGACTAAGTTTTATTGCTAAAGATCTGTGATGCACTAACACGTAAGGGGAAGCTACTTTAGCTGTGCAACTGGAAGTCAAGAACTTTGGTTGGACAAGTATAACATTCCTTAAAACAGAAATCATTTTTTGGTAGTGCTTCCTGATTTTTCCACTGAAAATAACGCTTCTGATAGGGGAGAGGGAGAGTGACCTCAGAGGGTCTGAGGCAGCTTATTGCAGGGGGATTGAATTACATACAGAAACAGAGTGATATATTTAGAGACCTAAATTATTTGAAGAGATGGAATACAGAGAGAGAGTGAGAATAAGTCCAGTAGAAGACTTTTACTTTTACTTACATAGAAGTCTCAACATAAAGATTAGGCATAGAGTCTTGAGAAAGCTAATGTGGCCCAAATTGGAGATTTCAGACAGGGATATCATAAGACATGAAATACTTTTCTTCTGTCTATGAGCAATATGTGCTTATTTTAGAAAACTTGAAAAAATATAAAAATTATAAAGAAGAAATTTAAAGCCAGAAATTTAAAGTAGTTGTGGGAATTTAAAGTAGCCATTTAAAGCCAGAAATCTAAGTAGTTGTGGGAATTTCTTGAATTGTGAAGCAATTTAGCAATAGTATTGGTACTGGAAGAGAAAGATTTTGAACAAGAAAAGAATAAAGACTGAGGCCAATAGGCAAATGTAATCTACATATGAAATGTTCCAGTCAGAATAAGCCATGTGACAAGATAGTGCCTTGTGTCACTGGTTTTCAGATATTTTTTTTTCTGTTTTTTATAAGAAGGAGCCTCTACCTGAGAATAGAATTGCATAATATCTTAAAGAGGTGAAATAGCTGATAAGCTTCACAGCTTAAAGATACTTGAAAGCCCTGTCATTGAAGATTATATTTTCATATGTCACATTTTCTGTTTGTTATAACACAGAAAAAAGATTATCAGGTAAAAGTAAATGACCGTTCCTAACAAAGTTAAGTGATACAACAGTGTTCAAAATGGTGTTTGTAATAATACTGTATTTTGACAGCTTTTTAATCTATTTAGCAAATTGAAAGCAAAGCAGTTTGATTTAGTGGATGTGTTTGGTGACCTAACAATGCCATCAAATCTTTAGTTAATCAACAAATAATTACCATGTCTGGTCCAGTCACCTGGCCAGGTACTGTTGGAAAAACAAAGAGCTATTTGAAGTCTGTTTCTTTCAAAAGATACTAATTGAGCAGACACAGTTCCTGTGCTGTGTTAATGAATGTAGCAGAAGCTAGATAATTAGGTGATCTCGTTCTCTTCAAAATAGTTGTGTTTGAAGAATGTGTACCTTGTTGTAGTTATGCTTTCATTTCTCCAAACATTTTTATAACTCTTCTTTTGGAATTTCCTTTAGTGCCTATGATGATGCTTTTGAATATTCTCAATTTTGATTGCTTAAGAGTAGGTTTACAAACTAAGTAATGGAGTTTGGAGTCCAAAATTAAGTGTTACTGCAAGGTAATGAGAGTAGTTTTTAAATTTTTGTTCTTGTCTTTTGACTGGCTTTAAAAGCATGTTGGTAAAAATACATGGATGGGCTTGATAATTGATTGTTTTGAAGGACTATCTCTGGTGTCTGAACTTTGTTAAAAATATACCCTTATTATTTAAAAAAAAAATTAGTGTGTTCAAGTTAGAAAGTACTGAACTGAAAATTCGTCATGCTATATATATTTATGCATGGTATTCTTCCATAAAGAAAAATAAAGCCTGAACCTCAGACAAATCAGGATGTCTCTTTGGGCCTTGAGTTTCTTATCTACAAAATAAAGTGGTTGAACTAGGTTATTTCCAAGATTCCATCTGCATTTTGTCTTTTTTTTTTTTTTTTTTTTGAAAAAGAGTCTTGCTCTGTCACCTGGGCTGGAGTGCAGTGGCATGGTCGTAGTTCACTGAAGCCTCAAACTCCTGGGCTCAAGTGATCCTCCTGGCTCAGCCTCCTGAGTAGCTAGGACTATGGGCATGAGCCACCATGCCTGGCTAATTTATTAAAGAGATTTTTTGTGGAGATGGTGTCTCACTATGTTTCTCAGGCTGGTCTCAAATTCCTGGGCTCAAGTGATCCTCCTGTGCCCCAAAGTGCTAGGATTATAGGTGTGAGCCACCACATCTGCCTGCATTTTTTCTTTACCACATTTTTGGCACATTAATTTTTGTGGACAAAGCCCAAGGTCATCTAGATTTTCTGCTGTGTTAGCTTTTAGGAGTTTACAGTTTTGTGTTTTATATTTAGATCTGTGATCTATTTCGAGGTAACTTTTGTTAAAGGTATAAAGTCAGTGTCTAGATTTTTTTTTTTTGTATGTGAATGTTCATTTGTTCTAGCACCTTTTGTTGAAAAGACTATCCTTTCTCCATTGAATTGCATTTGTTCCTCTGTCAAAGATCAGTTGGATATATTTGTGTAAGGTTATTTCTGGGCTCTGTATTCTGTTCTGTTGAACCATTTGTCTACTCTTTCACTAATTCCACACTCTTGGTTACTGTAGCTTTATAGTAAGTCTCAAAATTGGGTAGTTGAAATTCTCCAACTTTATTCTCCATCAATATGGTGCTGGCTTTTCTGGATCTTTTGCCTTTCCATATAAAATTGAGAGTCCATTTGTCAGTATCCACAAAGTGACTTGCTGGGATGTCAGTTGAATTGCATTGAATCTATAGATCAAGTTGGGAAGAACCTGACATCTTAACAATATCTTCTTTAGCTGTTTATTTTTTAAATTCCAGATCCAATCCATGATCAGGCATTGCATTTAGCTGTCATGTCTCTTTAGTCTCCTTTAATTTAGCCACCGCTTCTGGCCTTTATGACATTGACATCTTTGAAGGCTGCTTGTGTTATAGATTGTCCTTCAATTTGTTTTTTTCTGATAATTTCCTCTTAATGAGATTCAGGCTATACATTTTTGGTAGGAAAACTATGAAAATGATGTTTTAACTACTTATTGAAGAGATCTTTCACCAGTCTTCCTATTTTGAGCGTGAAGTTCATTCCGATTCATACTTACCTGGTTTTGCTGATTCAGAATGCCCTTCTGGTATTCTGCTGTGTAAATGAACTTACTTCTGGGCTTTTCCCATTGCCGGCTTAGGTTTTAATTTTCCTGGATCTGCCAGGTCACTTCTACTTGTTCTTGTGCTACCTACGTCATCTGATTTCCAGCTTCCAAAATTAGGTTGCTCTTACCCTTCCTGTTGTCTTTACTCTTGTAGAATTGTGCCCTTCTAAAAATAACTTCAATAGTAAAACCAGATGACTAAATAAAGTCAGAATAGTGCTTACCTCTTTGGGGTAGGGTATAGCCTGACAAAGGACATGAGAGAAATTTATGGGTACTATATCATTTCTATATCATGATCTGGGTGGTAGTTACATGGGTAACCATATGTGTAAAAAAAATTATTGAGCTGTGTGCTTAAGAACAGGACATTTTATGCATTTAAATGTATGCGTGTTATACCTCAAAAATACCATTTATCACTGTCAGTGAAGTTTTGAGAGAGTGCAGAGAAAACTTGTCTAGGGTTATACTAGTACATTTCTATTTCTTACCCTAATCTTTGGTATAACTGAGAACTAGAAGTACAAGTTGTTGTTAATCTTATTTTGCAAAGATAATCAATTTGGTGTACATTCTTCCAGATTTTTTCAATGCAATTACCAATGTATACTTTCATACATGTATTGTAGATATACATACAAAATTAAATAGATGTTTGAAGAAAATAGTTATTTGCAAACAAAATATTTGTTTTTCTGGTTTACAGGTATAAAGAAAGTTGTACAGAGACACAGATTATCAGGAAATTGCCACATGGTTACATTTCAACTTGAATTTCAGATTCTGGAAATTCAGGTAAATTGAGCATGTTGTGATAACAGAAATATTTCTGCTATGAGATAAACAAATCCCACACCCTAGCCTTGACCAGTGGCTGAGCTGAAGAGGAGTTCATGAGTCAGGTCCTCCTTGTAGAACATTTGTGCAGAGTGGTACCATTTTAAAAATATCCAGTATAAATACTCCAGCAACTGCATGTGATAGAGTTGTTGCTGAAGCCATAGGTGCTTATTGTAGGGCAGGTAGCACGATGCTCCTTGACTCCTAGTGCAAGCCCCTGAGGTTGTGGGAGCAGTTCTAGATGTCATTAGTAATTAGCCGATATGCCAGCCATCTATTATCTATTAGTTATCTATTACTGCTTAACAAATTTCCCCAAAATTTAGCATCTTAAAACAACCAAAAATACAGTCATCCCTTGGTATCTATGGGAGATTGATTCCGAGATTGCCCATGATACCAAAACCCACGGATGCTCAAAATGGTGTAGTATTTGTACATAACCTACGTACATCCTCTCATATATTTTAAATCATTTCTAGATTACTTATAATACCTAATACAATGTAAATGCTATGAAATAGTTGTTATACTGTATTGTTCAGGGAATAATGACAAGAAAAAAAGTCTGTACGTGTCCAGTACAGATGAAACCATGTATTTTTTTTTTCAAATATTTTTAATCTGGGGTTGGTTGAACCCAGATGTGGAACCCATGGATATGAAGGGCCAACTGTATTTATTAGTTATCTCTCCCATTTTCTGTGGGTCAGGAATTTGGGAGCAACTCAGTTGGTTGTCCTTGCTCAGCACCTCATGAAGTTTTGATCATCTGGAACCACAGCCAGAATGCTGCTTGGGGCTGGATGATCTTGCAAGTTGTACTGGACTGCTGAGGCACGACAGAGGAAGGAAGATACTTTTGGCTAACATAATATCAGGAAGCAGAAAAAGCAAAGCAGACAAAATGAAAATGTGCTGCCCCATTGTCCGGAGTGGGGCAGAACAGGGCTCAGATACTTTCAAAGACTGGCTCAGAGAAGAATAGGATCCAGACATAATTTTGAGAAATGACAGAGGCTGGGCAGATACTATGATGGCAGAAAGCAGTTTCAACCAGTTGGTTTTGCCAGCTGGGCCTACAGGGAATGTGTGTAAAAAAGAGCAATGGAACAGGGAAGGACAAGCAGGCTGTCTTGGCCTCAGCTCATCAGATAACTAAAGTGAGTGTAGAGTAGTTGTCACCACCAAATCCTATGGACAAGCTGCCTGCTTATGCTCAGGGTCATGTGCTGGGATTTCTCATCCTTATCCTTGTCAATGTTGTCAACCACACACACCTCAGAGTGTCACCTTTCAGCACTACCAAGGTGACCAAGAAAATGTTCAGTGTGGCATTGGCAAGGCCTGTTGAACAGGATACCACATACATTTCAGCATGTTCATATGTCAGGGGTATGGGTGGTGAGTAGCCCTAGGGGAATTACATTGTTCCTAGGTGGGCACCAGGCTTTGGGTTTACAACAGAGTCACCAAGGTGACGTTGTTATTCTCTGTGACCACAAAGATAATCCGCTGAAGACTAAAACGGAGCATGGACCCAAATGGACTGATATCATTTGGGTTGAACGACCTTTGCCAGGACACTAGCTTTTCCTTTCAGTGGCCCAGGGACTCCCGGATATTGTCACATTGTAGAAGGTTGCATATTCTGACCAACTACATTTTGTTTCTTTGTGACTAATGTGATCTGGACCTCAGAGTTGTGATACACTGAATGTTCTTCTGCATGCTGGTATCCATTGATAGGCCAGGACTGCAACCCAGGGCAGGTTGGTAGAATCAGAAGCCTGAGGTCCAGTTCCATCTCTGAGATCATCTACACTCCAGTATATATGTCCAGGAAACATGCCCAGGGGCATCCTGGTAGCCTTGGAGCCTTGCAGGCTTTTTTTGCTATCGGTGTTCATCTCTTTCACAGTTGCTCCATGAGTTATGTGGAGAGAAGCTAGACCTTGGGCGAAATTAGTCTTATCCTTGGGAGGCTTGTCCACAAATCCAACTGAAAAAGGAAAGACTGTCCTCTGACATTGAGGCGAATGAGCTGCTCAGTGAAGTTGTATTTCCCAGGACTGGTTGTGCCCAAAGATTGGTGGGTGTGCTCGTTAGCTGGGCTATGGCCTGAGAGATAACATAGATAATGATATTTTAACTTTACTTCTTTTAAGTTGCGTACTTCAGTCACCTTAAGGCTCGGATGGAGAGTATCAAACAGTAGTTTGATGTCTTCCTGTGTCAGGTAAGGACGAGGTCACAGCTTAGAGGACATTTTTTATAATGTGATATGATTCTGAAGAACAGCTACTGCCTGACTAGAGACATTCCCAGTATAAACTCTCACTGGGCCCCCAGTTCCTGCACTGGTTTGGCCTGGTAGGATTGGATGGCTGCCCTGAGGCAGCACAAACAAGACTAAAGCAAGTAAGACCAAGCAGCAGCTACCCTGTGGTTCAGGTCCTGCCACTACTGCTGCAGTGGCCATACTCTCTGCCTCCTACCAGGCAGTGGTGACATTGACCCAGACCTCAACAGTATTTTAAGCTAATATTCTGGTCCCATACCACCAAAGCATGATTGAAATTTTTGTCACCATTTGGTAATGGCCTGACATGCTGTTAGCTCACAGGCTGAATGAATTAGAATTAGTTGACCTGCACCTGACAGAAAACTTAAAGGTGGTTCAAAGTACTAAATGTTTACTTCTCTATTACTTAAATAAAATTGTAAGGTAAATTTTCAAAGGCTATTATGGTGGCTTTATAATAATCAGGCTCTGCCATTAGCCACACATGGCTTCCAAATCATTGGAGGCAATTATCACATTAGTATTTCAGGCATCAGAAAGGGGTTGGGAAAACAAGCTCATCTTTTCCTTTGAAGGAACACTTTCTAGAAGTTGGGTACCCTTCATTTTCACTTATATTTTATTGGCCAATAAATTAGTACAAAGGATGCTGGAAATTTAGTCTTCCTTATGCATGGCCATGTGGCCAGTGACTAATTGAGGCAAGAAAGAAACATAAATATCGGGGACTTCTATGTCCTACATGCTTTAGGGGATGCAGGAAAAAAATCTGAGGAAAGGAACTGTTCATATTCTTTGAAAGACATAGACCATAGTAATTGCTGAATCTCTAAAGGAACACGAGTTGTCCTTATTCACATTTAGAAGTATGTAGGTGTTCTGGGACTGATTGGTTTTACTAACAATGTGCTGCAGAAAGTGCATGCTCTTCCTGGCTGTGTTAAGAACTCTTGCTTTCTCTCTGAGCCTTTTAAATGTTATGATTCTTCTTGAAGATCAGACTGGTAAACAAGATGTTGGAAGCAGTCACAGACAGCTCTGGAATCAGAAGGGTTTTCAGGATCAGTTGTGCGGGAGGTGCCAAGAGTTCTTGCCTGCAGAGGAAAAAAACAAAGGACTATATTATTTTTTCTTTGTTGCTTAGAATTCTGTTATAATGGGGTGATGAGAATTGTTTTTTAATTTTTTTTGTATTTAATGGTAAATCCTAGCATATTTATTCCAGGCCAACTTGGGTAAGTACACTTTTAGAAATCTATCTCTAGTAGAATTACTAGATCATAGGAAATGTACATATAAATTTTTATTGATAGCGACTAATTTCCTTCTAAAATGGTTTTACTGTTTTACACATTTAACACATTTTTGCTGTAGAGACTGATAGAAAAAAATGATGAAAACACAGCAATCTTATGTGTTCTAAAACATTTTTTAAAAACGAAATTTCCTGGCCACGCGCAGTGACTGACACCTATAATCCTAGCACTCTAGGAGGCTGAGGCAGGAGGATTGCATGAGCTCAGGAGTTTGAGACCAGCCTGAGCAACAGTGAGACTCCATCTCTACTAAAAGTAGAAAAATTAGCTGGGCATCGTGGCACATGCCTATAGTCCCAGCTACTTGGGAGGCTGAGGCAAGAGGATTGCTTGAGCCCAGGAGTTAGAGATTTCAGTGAGCTACGATTATGCCATTGTGTTCTACAAAGGGCAACAGAGCAAGACTCTGTCCCCTCAAAAAAAAAAAAAAAAAAAAAGAAAGAAACAAAATTTCCACTAGATGGAGATGTTTAGCTATCAGAAAATTAAAAAATAAGTACTAAAACTTTCTCAGTTTACAGAATATTATAATAAAATCATATTAATATAATAATTGACCTAAAAGTGATCTAAAATCATATTAATAAAATGTTAGAACCAAAAAATGCCCTTACATATTACCTAGGTCAACCCTATTATTTTATAAGGAAATCTACTCAGAGAATTTGAATGATTACCCGTGTTGGTGCAGCTATCGCTGTCCAAGATGGTTGGGATATAGAACTGTGTTCCCCAGATTTACCGCCTGGTGTCATTAGTGCTATGTTTGTGAGGAGTTGCAAGACCATCAGAATTAACATGTATCAGCCTTCTGTAGTCCAACCAGCATAATAAATGAGGGATGGTTGGGAGTTTGTGGGGAAAGAGGCAGATTAAGTATGTTTGCATGACTTTTCTCTCTGGAACCCAATGAAATGAAGAAAATGATTCTAAAATAGGCACATTTTTTTTAAAGAAAGAGAATGCAATCCCATTATCACTGGCTCCAAAGAAAATCTGCCTGATGTTAATCATATTTTAACTCAAACACTGAAATCTGATACAGGGTGCTTCATGAGAGGTGTATAAATTTTGCAAAGTTAATTCCTTTTCTTAAAGATCTCTATCAGAAAATTAAAAAATAATCTAAGTACTAAAACTCTCAATTTACAGAATATTATAATCATATTATAGAGAATCATACTTTAGAGAAGAATGAGAACTATGGGCATAAATTAAACGGACCATCGTAGGAAGGAATTTGCTGCTGAGACTTATGTAGAGGCTTTGAGGTCAGGTTATTTATAAGGTTGCTTCCCATATTTACCAACTGGGGAGGAATGACCTGGTTAGCAGCAGCACAAGCAGGAAAGAGATGACAAAACACTATCTTGAAGTCAGCTTTACAGTAGTTGAACAGAATCTATAACCCAGCCAAAAGGGGAGGAGGGCAATAAATCTTTGCAATGAAGGGTGCCTATCTTAATGGTGAAAGGTTGCAATCTAACATGTACCCACACATACTCAAACAAGAGACAAGATATGCCCCTGAGATATTTTTCATTTTTCTCCCCCCTCCTTTTTTGGTAACAGCTCTATTGAGATATAATTCACATACCATATAATGTGTCCGTTTAAAGTGTATAGTTTAGTAGTATTCAGAGTTGTCCAACAACCATCATCATAGTCTGTTTTAGGACATTTTCATCACCTTAGAAAGAAACCCCATATTCTTTAACTATCACTCTTCAATTCTCCCCTCCTTTCTCTCAGCCTCAAACAATTATTAACCTATTCTCTATGTATTTGCTTATCATATATGGTCTTGTGTGTCTGGCTTCTTTTATTTAGCATATTGTTTTCAGGGTTCATCCATGTTGTAGCATGTATCACCTTCATATTTTTTTTGGCTGAATAATATTCCATTGTGTGGCTATACCACATTTTTATTTATTTATGTGTTTTTTGAGATAGAGTCTCACTCTGCTGCCCGGGCTAGAGTGACGTGGCATCAGCCTAGCTCACACCAACTTCAAACTCCTGGGCTCAAGCGATCCTCCTGCCTCAGCCTCCCAAGTAGCAGGGACTATAGGCATTCGCCACCATGCCTGGCTAATTTTTTCTATGTATTTTTAGTTTTCCAGCTAATTTTTTTCTATTTTTAGTAGAGACGAGGTCTTGCTCTTGCTCAGGCTGGTCTCGAACTCCTGAGCTCAAATGGTCCACCCATCTCGGCCTCCCAGAGTGCTAGGATTACAGGCGTGAGCCACCACGCCTGGCCCACATTTTTATTCTTTTCATCAGTTTATGGAAACAGTTGTTTTCTCTTTTTCACTGCCATGAATAATGTCAATGTAAATGTTTAAGTTTTTAAGTGGACATATGTTTCATTTTTGGGTGGTATAACTTGGAGTGGAATTACTGGGTCAGTTGGAACTACTAGATGATGTTGAACTAATGATGTCAAACATCTTTTCATGTGCTTACTGGCCATTCGTTTATTATCTTGGAGACATGTTTATTTAGATCCTTTGCCAAGTTTTTAATTGCGTTGTCTCTTTTTTTTTATTTAGTTGTAAGAATGCCTCTGGAATTCATGTTTTGATTAGATAGGGTGGTAAATACCCACAGACTGCCTACTTAAACTGCAACTACTCCTAACAATTCCCACTATTCCTTCAAGCAGATGAAAAACTAAACAAAGATTATAAACTATCAATATCAATTTCTTCAACAGCTCAGGCTCTAAGGAGGCAAGTCAGATAGTGTCCAGACAAATGGGGAAGAAATTCAAGGAGTATCCATCCACTCTAGTCTTAGGAAATAGCAACAATTGCTAGATTTACTTCTGTTAATAACAAATAGGAGCCACAGAGTTCAAAGCACAAGGATGATACAGATTTCTTCCATCACCATATTAGACAAAGTGACCTAAAATCATGGCAAAAATACTACCATGAAAAGAAAGTTAAGAAAATGCAAATAAATTCACTTTGGAAGAATTAATCTAGGAAATAAAAGAACACGCTATATAAAAGCTGCTCTCTCAAAGCATGAAGAAAATTGAATAAGAGGAAAAGGAAGATGAAAGAAAAAGGAATAAAATTATATTAATAGTACTGAAAACTACATTAGAAGTATAAAGGAGTGGAATGTGGAGGATAGGCTTAGGAAAAATCACTTGTAAAAGCAATTGAAAAGAAGATAATAGATCTGGAAGACAGACAGTAGAGAGCCAATATATGATTTTTCTAAAAACAAGAATAGCAAAAAAAGTAAAGGGAAATTATAGACAAATATATAATAGAAGATATTTTATTAGAATAAGAGAAAAACTTGAATTTGCAGATAAAAATAATTTATTTAACAGTCCCCATTATTGAGTATATAGTTGTTTTCTGGCTTTTTGTGATAATCAACACTGTTATGAATATCTTTATTCAAGTCTTTCTTTATCTTTATTTCTTATTACTGATAGATTCTTAAAAGTCAAATTGCTGGGACAGAGCATATGAATATCTTAAGTTATGCATTGTCAGAATGATTTTTAAATGGGTTATGCCAGGTTTGAGTGTATTTACCAGCCTCAACATTTTTGTAGTTGTTGCTCATTTTATAGGCAAAAATGTCATCTCATTATTTTAATTTACAATTATTCCTAGTGAGATTGAACTTTTTTTACATGTAAATTGTTTTTCACCTCTGAATTTTTAGTTTACATCCTTTGCTTTTTTCTTTTCAGTTTTCATTGTCTCTTTGTCATGTTTATGGTAAATATTTTCCTCAGTTTATTGCTTCTCTTTTATTGTAAGGTCATTTTTTACTTAGATATTTTGAGTTTTTATGTAATCATTAGCTATTTTTTAATTGTTTGCTTAGAAAGTTTTCCCTCATTTAATAATAAAAGTTTATATTTTGTCCTAGTATTTTATGATTTCCATGTTTAAGTAATTCATTTGGAGTTCATTTTGATTTTGGTATGAAGTAAGGATCTAATTTCGTTCTTTTAACAAATAACCACTATTTCCAGTATAATTTCTTGCATAGTTTTAAAGTATTTTTGTCTTATTTTTAAAGTTTACTGTGCTTTGATACATAAACTTTTTATCTTTATTTTAGAATAAAGAGAGATTATCTTCTGTTACTACTGACCTGAACATAATAATGGAGCCCACAGAATGTTCAGAATTAAGTGAATTTGTGTCTAGGTAAGCTATGTTAGAAATTTGTTTTTTAGGAACCATTTTCACTCTACAGTTTTAAGTTTACCTTTCCTTGGTAAGTAAATAGTCTTCTCTGAAAGCATAACACCATTTTTATGGCTTATATTTAAGCCTATATTTGCCACATTTGTCATTTTTTCATTTGGTATATATATATATATTCATGCATACCCATCTATCCAGCTTCTTTACTTTGCCAGTTTGTTTCAAATCGTCCAATACTGTTGGAATAGTAACGTCACAGTTTGCTGCTAATTGACACATAGGTTGAGATGGGTTCCCTTCCACTACAGCTTCCAGCTCATCATTAACCACCTTGGTCTCAGGTTACCCACATGGCTCATTTTCAAGATTAAAATCACTGGAACTGGAACTTCTCAAACCATTGACATACTGTGTGTTCATTAGCCACATCCTTCCCAAACACTTGGTTGATATTTTGAGCTGTCTGTGCTGCATTTGTTTCACAACGGAACTCATTAAAAAATAACACAAATCTTTGACTTATCCGTGGTTTGACAAAATTGCTCAAAAAAAAAAAAATTTGAAAGATAATTACAAGCCAAACCATGCATTTGAAAGAATGAGGATGTACCTTCACAATCAAAATAAAACAAAAAATGTCAAAGTGAAATGTCAGAGATATCAACTGTCAAACTTAGTACTTAAGGAAATCGGACATTTAATACTTAATAACCTTATATTTATTACAAGTTCTCTATTTGCTGGACATTAAAATTAAAATCTGAGCAAAAAAAGGTATAATCTTCAATCTTCCTGGAATTGATAGCCTAGTGGAGAAGTCAGATATTAATTAAATAATTGCAGAAATCTAAAATTATGGCTGTGTTAAATGCTACAAAGGAGAGTTACATAATGTTGTTGAAGCATATATCAGGAATTTGAATATCAGGAAGAACCTGAAATGATTTCCCAAAGTTTGAGCTGACATCTGAAAAATGAATAGATGTGAACTAACAAAGAGGTCCTAAACAGCTTTGCCCTGGCACTGTGCGGAAGAGAGCATGGCGTCTGTGAGCAACTGACAGGGGGCCAGCCTGACAGAAGAGGGCAAGAGACCAGGAGTGTGGTATAGGATGAGGCTAGGAAAGTAGGTAAGGTCCATACTATGGGAAATTTGATACAAGGAGTTTGATCATAGTCCTAAGAACTATTGAAAGGTTTTGAGCAGGGCCTGAGGAAGGCAGAAGTATGACATCCTAGAAAGAATTATTCTGGATGCTATGGGGAGAATGGATTGAAGGGGTGCAATAATGGATACAGGTGAGTCAATGACTAGCCTATTCAAACAGTTCAAACAAGAGAAGTTTATAGTTTGGCCTAGAATGATGGTAGTTAGCTGGATGGATTTGGGGGATACTTAGGAAGCAAAATTGAGTGGCATGGGATTGGTTGAATAAAAGGGGTCTGGGGTCCTTCAAAGGGGATAATTCCTTGATGATGGTAGTCCTGATTGCTGAGAAAGGAAGGTTGGAAGAGGACCATGTCAGGTGAGATGATGACTTCATTTTGGACATGTGGGACTTGAGTGCCTGTGAAACACTGAAATAAAAATATGAAGGAGTCCTCAGCACAGAAGAGGTGTGGATAGGAGAACACTGGAATTATTTTCTAGTGGGTAGAAATTAAAGTCTTTGACAGAAATGAGATTGCCTGTGGAGGGAATATAGAGTCAAAGTAGGAGAGGGCTTAGAACTGAGCCCTGGGGAATTCTAAAATGTACTGTCTGAATACAAGGGAAAGATCCTACAAAGGAATTAGAAAAGAGCTGTTCGAGAGGTAGGAGGAAAACCAAAAATGTGTTGTGTCATGACAGAGATCACGTATTTCCCATTGTTCAGACCATACTTTGGAAGTAGCAACTGCTGTTTGGAAATTAGAAAAGGAAGAATAGTGGTATGATATCTGTCCCTCTTTAGTAATGGGCATGTTATAGTTACTCAAATAAATATTTGATCTCAGCCTTTTGGGTGATTCTCTTAGGTCGGGTTCCCATTTTGTGGAGATGGACTGATATTTTAGAAAGACTGGTATTTCTGAACATAGGTCAGAAGACCTGGATTTTAGTTTAGACTCTTTGACTTTGTATAAGTCACTTCTCCTTTTCAAGTTTCTTTCTTTATCTCTGCTGTTATGCAGTTTAAATATTATATACCTAAATGTGAATTTATTTTTAATTTCTTATAGATCTATAGTTTTTCAGACCGAGGATCGATATCTTTAGTTTTTGAAAAATTCTTAGTCATTATTTCATTGACTCTTGTCTCTACCCTGATCTTCCCTTACCACCTCACTGAAATAACAAACATTTCACATGTAGCATAAAAACAACAGTATTCTTCCCATTTCTTCTCTCTCAATCATTGTGTTGTTATTGTCATACACTTTTACATGTTATGAATGCCTCAGTGCATTGTTACTATTTTTGTTTTAGACTGTCAATTTTTAAAGCAATTAAAATAAGAAAAACCATATTTTTGTATATTTATCTTCGTTTTTACATTTTCAACATTCTTCATTTCTTTGTGATGATTCAGATTATTAACTGATATACTCCTTCCTTAGGAACTTCCTTTAATATTTCTTATTGTGCTAGTCTATTGGTCATCAATTCTATCAGCTTTTGTTTCTCTGGAAAAGTCTTAATTTTGCCTTCATTTTTTGAAAGATATTTTTGCTGGCTGTAGAATTCTGGGTTGACAGTTTTTTTTTTTCTTTCAGATCTTTGCGTAGGTTGTAACAAGAAGTCTGCTGTGATTATTAATGTGTCTTGTGTGTGTGTTTGAGGGCTTCCTTAAATCATTCTCTTAATTTTGCTCTTCCACAGTTTGAATGTGCTACGTCTAGGATATATTTGTATAAAAATTCTCAAGCATATATTTTCAAATATTTATTTTGCCCTGTGCCACTCTGATTACATGCATGTTAGACCATTTGATGTATTGTCCCAGTATTTGGATGCTCTGTTCTATGTCTTTCACTTTTTTTTCCCTGTGTGTTTGAGTTTGGGTAATTTCTATTATCTGCAAGTTCACAGAAGTACAATCTGCAAGTGAGCCCACTGAGGGAATTCTTCTCCTCTCTTGTAATGCTTTTTATTTCTAGCATTTCCATATTTTACTATATGGATATACCAGAGTTTGTTTTTCCATTCACCTGTTAAAGGACAGTTGGGTTATTTTCAGTTTTTGGTGAATACGTTATAGTATATTATAGTGTATAATATAGCATATTATCCCTGTACATATGTATATGTGTGTGTGTGCCTGTATATATACCTGTATATTCATGCTGCTATAAACATGCATTAGAGGTTTTTGTGTGAATATAAGTTTTCTTTTCTCTAGGATAAATAACCAGAAGTAGAGTTGCTAAGTTATATAGGGGTATGTTTAAATTTATAATAAACTGCCAAACTTTTCCAGAACAACCATATTATTTTGCATTCCTACCAGTAATGTATTAGAATGACTCATAATATTTTGGTGAATTAACTTATGATATTCACCTAATTTTAGACCTAACATTCCTAGGAATTTATTTTGAGAATAAAATTTTAGAATTTTTATCCTAAATTTCTCTTTATGTTTTGCTTTATACTTAAGAAGGAGACATTTGAAGTTATTTTCATTTTATGACTACTTTAGTTGAAATTGAAATGTGTTACTGCCAACATTTTGTGAAAGAAATCCATGACATCTGTTTTACATTTAGTGAAGTTTGGACTTTGCTTAGGAAAAATAGATAAATTACAATCACTCTTACACTATTAAGAGCCAACACTCACACCCGCACACGAAATTTCTTTCTATAATGGAAAACTCTATGTGCTGTAATACAGTACCCTTTACAAGGATTCAAATGGGGAAATGAAAGAATTGTGAATCTTTTAAAGTTCTTTTTAAAAGAATAATCTCTTCCCCTCTCCAAGTGTGCGTGTGTGTGTGTGTGTGTACTCACGCGCTCACATACATGTTCTTAAACTATGATCATTGTAGCTTTTAGGATTATTTTCTTGGCTCATTCCCTTATCACATGATTAAGAGTTTATTTTTTGTTCACTTGTTTGATGGAGAATGAAATATCATACCACTTTTGCCTGTAAGCTCTAATGAAGTAATTGTTGATGTTTATAGGCCTAAATTCTTTGGAGAGTCATTTGTTTTTTCAGGTGTTAAAACAGATATTTTTAATAGTTATCAGAGAGTAAGTTAACACTTACTCTCCAGTGATCTTGTAACCTTAACCAGCTATGTGTTAATTCAGCTGTTCTTTTGTTTTCTGTGTTCCACTTTGTTTCTTTTTTATTTTTTCTTGCCTTCTTTTGGATTATTTAAAATTTTTTTCCTATTTTTTATTGTGGCAAAATACTCATGACATGAAATTTACCACCTCAACCATTTTTAAATGTACAGTTCAGTGGCATTGCATTCATTAATAATACTATGCAGCCATCACAACTATCCATCTCCATACCTCTTTTCAGTTTATGAAACTGACACTCTTTACCCGTTAAATAATAACTCTTCTTTCCTTTCTCCTCCCACCCCCTAGCAACCACTATTCTACTTTTTGTCTGTATGATTTTGACTATTCTAAGCACCTCATATAAGTGAAATAATACAGTATTTATCTTTTACAGTGCCTTATTTCACTGAGCATCATTTTCTCAAGGTTCAACCATGTATCATGTCAGAATTTCCTTTCTTCCTTCTTCTTTTTTTTTTTTTTTACATCACACAAGCTTTATTTGCACCATCTATGTAAGATAGTTCTGTGAATCTGTACCATTGAGAGAAGATAGGGCCTTTTCTCTTATGCCTATTACTGAACAGTAAATAAACATAATTACAACTCAAACTTATAAACTATTGACTAAATAATTCCTTTACTCCTATGTTAGTTGTTAGTTATGATCTCAGAGAAGAAAGGCTTTTCCTTATCCACACAGCTGCAGCCCCTTC